AGACATCAATTTCTCAGTTTTTCCTGTATTTTCTGTGGTGGCAAAATCTCTCCACTCTTTAGGAGCCAGAGGTGTTATTTTAACTTACAGAAAAGGCAGCTGAAATATTATCTCCTGTGATCTTTAGAGTGTATTACAGTGGAAAGCAACTTTTTAATTGATGCAAAAACAAACCCTGAAATTCCTCCGATTTCTTAGGCCTTCCTTAGTTTGCTCATTTCAATAGCTGCCTGCCTCAAGCAGACAAAGCCAATGACATAGTACTTCACAAAGACTATGTTAATGCTAGGGAGAACTGCTTGGTTTGTAATGAGCATTATAAACTTGTTGTCTTAATGAACAGAGTGCAGTGAATTCCAGTTCAAAGCACAAGCCACTTCCTGCTCCCTGAATTTAAGGGTTAGAGTTGCACAGTGAATGAAGCAGCATGGTTGATTCACTTCTTTCTCTTCTGAAGGTGACGGGCCTCGATGGCAATTACAGGATCACTTGTCACACAGTGATGGAAGTCCTGCGTGAACATAAGGACAGTGTCATGGCTGTGCTTGAAGCCTTTGTGTATGACCCGTTATTGAACTGGAGGCTGATGGACAGTAAGTGATTCTGATAAAGCAGTGACAGCAAGAGAGTAATCAGCCTGGTTTCAAACAAGAAATGCAGAAGCCTGAAATTCAGTGTCTGTTTGAAGACGAGCTGATGAAATGATTGGTTTGCATGTGCTATTTCTGCAGACACACAGTTTTAGGATTGTAATGTGAAATTACCACTGAGGTTAAAACCTTAAACACAGATACAGAACTAAGCCTACAGGGAAAATTTTTTGGGTTGGTAGTCATGAGGAAATTGAAAGCTGTTTCAAGGTGACAAAATCTGGAGCTGGAGAGAGGCAGTCAAATCTGTATTGTTTGTGGATAAATTTGCTATGAAACACTGAAACTCTAGTTCATACTTTTCAACTTCTTATTTTCTTGCAGCAAATACAAAGGGTAATAAGCGCTCCCGGACAAGAACAGATTCCTACTCAGCCAGTCAGTCAGTAGGTGAGTAGAAAAGATGGTGTGTGTCATGAATGTTTGGAACAGGTTCCTTTAGCAGTGCACAAGACTGGGTAAATGTTTTCAGTCCCCAAAAGTGGACAAACAGTTTACTGTCGTTAGCTGTAGGGTGGGAAGTGGTGAGTTCAGTACTGTGGCTCAAAAAGCAGTTGCTCCTCTACAGTTAAAGTAACACCCTTCTGGAGCACATATGAAGTGATGTACTCCAAGGTGTAATTGATATGTGATTAGTTATTTACTCAGCTACCAAATATTAGTGTGAAAACCTGGCAAGTAATTATGTGACTGAATGTTGAGAGCTTTGTGTTGAGTCTTAGCAGTTGCTTGCTATTGGACTGCAGGATAGGGACAGTGTTCATATGAGGAGCTCTACACTTATTTGATTGTAATTTTAGCTTAATTGTATGTCATTTCAATGTATGTTTCATTACACTTTCATATAAAATGCTTCTAGAAATTGGATCAGGCATTTTAGTATGTTAGCAGGGGAAACATAATGTGTGTTCCTGTGGTATGCTTCCATTGGGGATGTGTGGTACACTTGATGACAGTCAAATATGCTTTTCAAACTAGCTGATTAAGTTTTCTTAATGTTTCCAGAAGAACATTCTTTTATTTGCTTTTCAGCTTCCCATTTATGCTTCAATGTTTTCATGGTTTTTTTCAATAGAAATGTTGGACAGTGTGGAATTGGGTGAGACAGCCCATAAGAAAACTGGGACCACAGTGCCTGAATCCATCCATTCCTTCAGTAAGTTTGATTGGTGTTTCTATGCTGATGCAGAAATTGTTCTTAGACCAGAAAATTTCATCATGATCCAGGTACAATTACATGAGATGGGACAAATACAGTTCCTTGTCAGCATATATCTGTGCTCTCAGTGTCAAAATGGACTGATATCTGAGTTTGTTTGCTTTCAAAATGGTATTTGTGGTAATTGGGATGGGAAGATATGACAGCAGTGCAAATGCTGTTATTGTTTGGATGAAGTACTAATTCCCTTTCCTACTTCTGTCCTTTAGTAGGAGATGGTCTAGTGAAACCAGAAGCTCTAAATAAGAAGGCAATTCAGATTATCAACAGGGTTCGAGATAAGCTCACGGGTGAGCATGTTTTATCTTTATATAGGATAAACACAAAATCTGATGAGATGGATCAGCACTACTTTGAGCATTTGTATTTTGTGTTAATCCTTCAATTTAGCATATTTTGATTAAGTGGATGAGGCCATTTTCCTGGGTTTGTCTAACACCTAAGTACTGCTGCTGGGTTAGAGACAGAAGAGCCTGTACAGATTGCGTATTTTGAATGTCTTAGCCTGTTAATGGAAGTTGAATTTCTACTGTCCTGGCTTTATAGTTTGCAGCATTTAATTTTGAAATGGTATGCTCTTGAAGTTTATAAGAAACTACCCCCACCTGCCAAATAATGTACTTGAATGGGTTAGGATGAGAATCCTGGATACTGGAAAGTTATCTATTGTTGGTTTGTCCATTATTTGGAGAAGATAAAAGGAAGAAACTATAATAATAGGGAAAACAGAGTTCTGGGCTCTGCATGCCTTAGAGCATTTAATACACTGTAAAGGAAGGATAGTTAAAAGTCCTATCAGACCTTAACTTGCCAGACGGAAGCGAGTTATGTTACAGGGTTTGTGACTTCCATTCATGCCTTTTTTCCATCCTTTAATTTCCAAGGTCGAGACTTCTCTCACGATGAAACTCTTGATGTACCCACACAAGTAGAATTGCTCATTAAGCAAGCTACGTCCCATGAGAATCTGTGCCAGTGCTACATTGGATGGTGAGTTTGTCATTCAGCTAAGGAAAATGTCACTTGTGTAGTTAGTTATACATAGGAGCCTTACCATGTGCCATCTGCTCTAGTAAATTTTGCAAGCCCATGAGAGTGATGCCATGGACAATCCTCTAAGAAAGTTGATATCAGTAGTGACAGGGATTTTAGAACGTTTAAAACTGCCATCAGCCTCAACGTTTTAAGTGTTTTAAATAAGGCATGTGGTGGTCTCTTCAGGTACAGTGCAGAAGTACATGTTCTAAAGTAAAGGTCTCATTCTGAGAGTTAGCTAACTTTAGATTATGCTTAAGGAAGTAGATCTTTATAGCATTTTTAAACATTGGTTAGCTGGAAAGAAGCATGGAGATCACTTGTCAGCTTTTCTTTCCTATACAGAAATGGTGCCTGGTTAGTCTGGAATCTCAGTCCTTCTCAGTGTTGCCTTTGTGAAATTATATGCAAGTCAGTATTACGACAATACCTTTCTTTTCTTTAGGTGTCCTTTCTGGTAACAGAAGATTCCAAAGTGTCCACAGCCTTTTATTCTGGAGGCTTTTGCACTCCGAATTTGCTCTTCTACAAACACAAACTGAACATTGGACTGAAATACAGCCTTTGTCAAATATTTTGAAATGTAAATGAAAAGAGTTATTGTATAGTAAAAGTTGGTTTAAGCCAATGTATAGCTGCTGTTGGAAAAACACAAAGCTGTCTGAAACACAACACTTGATTTGGGTTTCCAGGACAGCGAAGATTGATTGTAACACAGATGTCTATTGTTCCACTTGGTCTTTGGGGAACTGGTGATCCATTGAAAATAACTATATACGGGTTTTGACTTACTTTGCAATGTAATGAAGTCATTTGCAGATTAATTATTGCCCTGGTCAGTCCTGTTGGTGTGGCTGCAGTGACCTCAATGCACTTGTGCAGGAGGCTTCCTTTAGGTTTGGGGGTGAGCTGGATAACTGGAAAGAGAAGCAAAGCAGAGTTTTACCATTGTTTCATCCTGTTACATTGTTTTCAAACTCGGTTCTTGCCCCCAGATTGGGAACTGTATACCCAGTCATGACACTAGGGCAGGAGTCGTGGTACAGACTAGATCAGGGTATCAGAGCACGTCCAGGAGTTGAAGCCCTTGGGCGGAGCAGAGGTAGGTGCCTCTGCGGGTTGATCCGTGGCAAAATGGATGCAGGGTGCAAATGAAATACCACTTGGGAGCTTCCCGCAGTGTCTGGGTTAAAAAGCAGTACTGGGAAATAGCTAGGGAAAGTCAGTACTTGCCGTAGGAGGCGGGTGTAGGGAGAGCTGATCATAACTTGAAACAGAAAATAATGCTTATTAAACATGAGGGTGAGGATAGAGTTACGATTTATGAATTAAATGTATTAAAAACAATGCACAAAATACAACAGAGTAGCCATGTTTAGATGCCATGTTGTATTGGAATATTTTTGTGCCAATAAATTACACCAAAATGTAGATGTTTTGACCATGTTCTTGTTTATTCCCAAGTACTTTTTAGGAAGAGACAGAGAAGCAGACTAAGATCAATTTTTTTTGGTAAGGTTTCCTGTTGCCATGGATATGACCTGTGTTTTTCTGCATCAGTTCAGGTGATTGGCTATGTTTCCCTTCTGCTAGCAGCTGGAAGCAAAACTCCCAAGACTGAATGATGTCTGTCGCTTGCGTAAGAGAACCTTGACCATAGATCCCTTACATTTTAGTTTCCAGCAGATGTGATGTCATCTGTCCGGTAAGAACATCAGCTTCTTGGTCTCAGGGTCACAGCCGCAGCTCAAGGGATAGCGTGGGCTGTGTCACTGCCCTGGCTGGGGTTCTTGGGGCTTCACCAGCCACTCGTGCTGGTGCTATACCCCAAAGAATGGGACAGGGGGAGGTGGTAACGTCCTCAGCCCCTTTCCAGGCACGTTGTGGGGACTGCCCTGTGGGGAAACAGAGCCGGGGGTCTCTCCTTTGGTTAAGCCCTGAGGGGTGTCCCTGGGGGGCCCCCTTTTCCCCCCCCAGGGGTCTATTCCTCTAGGCCGCCTGGGGGCGCCAGAGGACAGCCCTGGCGCCCCTTACCCCCACCTCCCCGGCTTGCGTTTCCGCTCCCGGCCCCGCCCCTCGGCGTCCTCTTTCTCGCGAGAGCTCGTGAGCGTCGCTTGGCTGCGGGAGCAACATGGCGGCGGCCAGCGGCGAGGGCTGCAGCAGCGATGCGGAAGCGGGCCCGTCGTGGTGGGACGGGCGCAGCAGCCTGTCGGAGCGGGCCACGGAGCGGGCCGCCGCCACGGAGAAGAGCAGCGCTCCGGAGCCAGCAGCGCCAGTGCCGTTTGATATCGGCAACACCGAAGCCTTCGTTAAGGTGCGTGGCCCAGGGGAGGCAGCGGGGCGGGTGCTGTGCACTACCGTTGCCGGGGAGGCGTGCGCGGCCCGGGGCATGCCGGGAGCTGTGGTTCTCCCCTCAGGGGACTGCCCGTAGACCCCGCGCTTGACGAGGTGGCAGCCCTGAGGAGATGCGGGGCAAGGCGGGTGCGGCCCGAGCCTGGGGTACCTTGGGCTGTTCCTGCCCCGAGCTCGGGCCTTTTGCGCTGGGTCCGGCTTTGTGAGCGCCCCGGGTCGGTTTTTGCTGCCTCCATGAGATGCAGAGGAGTCAGGGCCGTTCCTGGGCCAAGGCCTTGGATAACAGATCTCAGCATCAGCTGCCTTGTGTTTAACCTGTGCGAGCTGCTGCTTCCAAGGGAGGGAGCGCCAGGCCGTTCTCAAGCAGGAAACGTGTTGGTTTTGTTGTTTGGTGGGGGTTTTTTTTGTGTTAATAAAGTAATTTTCTGCATCCCTGCTTTCTAGACTGAGTTTTGTTTTGTTATTGGATTTTCATCATTTTATAGGCTCCTAAATAGACAACGTGAACTAAATTACTGTAAACTTAATCCCGTTGAAAAGCCCTGTGATACTATATAGGAGAACCGTGCAGTTCAGAGAAGCTAGGCAAAATACGTCTGCCAAATAGTCTCCTGGGTAAACAGAGAAACAAAGTACCTAAAAGATGCTAATAACGTGGTGTTCTTGCACAGTATGCTCTTGGCACAATGGTAGAGTCAACAAAGGCGTCTAACGGGCTTCCTCAGCCTGGCGATGAGTACGACTTCTACCGATGCTTCTCTGGCTTCCGGGCGTACTGTGAAATGCAGAGCGACCGTCTCCTCGACTGGTAAGGATGCTTCTGTGTCTCTGGGCCGTTGCTAACAGCTTCCAATCCAAAACAGAAGGTAGCACCCTTCTTTAGAGACTCCAAACTTGTTGTAGATGGTAGGATGGCTTCTTGTACACACCTTATTTTAGCTACTTTTCTAGTACTGGAAAGTTTAAGAAACAAGATTAAAGAGGGCCTTTTGTAATGATTTTGATAAGGGGCTGTGCAAGGAACAGAGGCAGATATAAAACACATTGGGCTATCTGTTTTAAAAGTCACATGGTTCCTAAGAAATTAATTCTAACACTTAATGCTGTACAGGAGTGTCTTCACTGCTCATATAATGTTATCTATAGGTACTGCATTTGGTTTATTTTTACACCTTGAAGATTTGAAGGGAATTGGATGGTTTAGTGTTCACCATGCCTGCTTTCAGACTTTTAATAGCTGTGCTGTTCTCTTGCAAGCATGACCAGGGTGATGCAGTACTACGGCTGCAGGAGCCACATGAAAGATCGCAGCAAAGTGACAGACCTGGAAGATAAATTTGACATTTTGGTGGATGCCAACGATGCCATTCTGGAAAGAGTGGTAAGCAAATTATTTCTGCTTGTTGCTGTTACAAACTGCCCAGTTACCACAAGTTCTTTGTTCCTTGCAGGAATGTCAGTGTTAGTGCATTCATAGTTACATTTAGCGTTTCCTCAGTCTGAAAACTGAAACCCAGTGGTGGGTTTCTTTTTAATCCATGGGCTAGGTCAGTGGTCACAGCAGCTGAGGCAGATGGGTTATGGCCCAAAAGGAAGAAAATAATAGGCTTCACTGAGAATAGGTCAATGTTTGGACTCTGTGATCTTAAAGGTCTTTTTCAACCTAAGTAATTCTGTGAGTCTGTGATTCTGTGTGACTTGTTAGGAAATTAATACAGTCTGGCATAAAGCCCCACAACCTGAGAACAGGTCTGTAAATTCATACTGCTGCTTCTCTGAGGAAATTTTTCCTAACCCTGATGTTCAACGTATTCGTCCCACATTTGTCTGTCTCATGTTGCAGAGAATTCAGGGGAAATGGCTGTGGAAATACCTATCTGTGTGACTTTATTCAGTCTCGATGGAGTGGCAGAGCTTGGTAATTTAACAGGGGTTTGTTTTTCACCTTGCTTTCCTGGAATTTAGAGTATTTTACTGGATGAAGCCTCAGGAGTGAACAGAAACCAGCAGCCAGTTCTCCCTGCTGGGTTGCAGCCCCCACAGACAATTGTTTCCAGCTGGAACCGCAAGGTGAGGCCTCTGCATGTCATGTGTTACCATAGCTTTTTTGCCAGCCTTGGCACTATTGGTTTCTGAATTGAGTGAATTGAGTTAAATGTTTTGTCACAGTTTTTTACACATCCTGACTCCCTCTTTTTTGCTTTTCCTATTTATTCAAACTTGATTCTGGAGTCTGTGTGCTTTCAATTGCCATTTCAGTTTGGTGACTCTGTTTTGAGTTTGGAATATAACTTTATTCTTCTGAATATTGGGTCAGGCTGAGTAGAAGAAATTCTGAATATCTGTTAAATCGTGTGAGTTTTACCTGTGGTTACCTTCGCTTAAACAGGCAGGAGAATCCCACAAGAGAAATCAGACTGAAACTTTCCGACTGCTTCATGCCAAGAATATCTCTCGACCACAGCTTAAATTTCGGGAAAAGATTGACAATTCCAACACTCCTTTTGTCCCTAAACTTTTTGTCAAGCCAAACGCTTTGAAACCTTTGCCTGAAGGTAAGGGAGTTATTTTTTGTTGGGTGACTTACTGAGAGTATTTGACACAAATCGGTCCTCACAGTCTAAAGGAGAAAGCATTGACAACAGGTAACAGGAGGAGATACTGACCATTTTGGTGTAGTAAGCTCTGTGACTGTTGTTCACATACATACAATGTAAGGATAGCTTAGCATACAGCATCTTCTTGTTGGTATACAGTAAATAATCTGTTCCAAGCAGATATAGTGAGTTCTCTTTACCACCATTGGTACATGATGAGAGTCACTCAGGCACTAGAAGTGGTCTTAATTAGTCTAGTTGGCTCAACAGATACTTATTCCTAATTAGTTAGGAGCACCAGATCTGTGGTTAGACCTACCTTTGGTTTGAGTGCTTTATCAAAGCTACCAGCGATTGTTCTTCTACTGCTGGTGATTCATCCTTTGTCTGCACTGATGCAGTTGTAGTTTTAGAAACTGGGAATGACTGAAAGATTTTTCTATCTCCTTCTAAGCTCTTGGGCAGAACCACCTTGTGTCTTCCTTGACAACAGCCTGGTAAAACCTAGTAACTGAGTTGTCATTAGAGATGCAGACAGAAATCTTACTGAGAGCAAAAGCTGCAGGTCTAAATTGTTAGCAATTTTGATACTTTAGGATTTTAATAGGACCTTGTGGTGGGTGGAGGGGAGAGAGTAGTAGGCTGGGAGCATGTTATATGTGGGATCCAGTCCAGTTGTTCCATATTGGTTGTTCAGCCCTCACAAAAAGTGGACGGGAACGAAAGGAGCGCCCTGAGGACTTGGATGTGCCACCTGCTTTGGCAGACTTCATACACCAGCAGAGGACCCAGCAAACTGAGCAAGACATGTAAGACATTAAACTGACAGCAAGGTGCTTGGAGTACCACTGGTGAACATGCATTTGTATGGTCCCATTGTGCCAATGCTCTTCATGTGTGACAGCTCTGCATGTGTTTTGTGTCCTCACACTATGTTGGGTGTGATTTGTTTTAGACATCTGCAGTTACTTTAAACCTGTGCTTAATCAGAGACACAATTTCTGCTCTGTAGGGAAACTGCCATAGCTCTCGGAGTCTCTGTGTTCTGAGATGACTGAAATTTAGTCTGTTTTCCTAATTTCCACAGGTTTGCTCACCCTTACCAGTATGAACTGGAGCAGTTTTCTCCACCAGATGGAGTTCTTCAGAAACCAGAACCCCAGGTTGGTACCCACGTTAATTTAAGCTTACAGCAGATGTAGTCACCATACTCGATGAAATACAGAATTGAGGGTGGGGGTCAGGGGTGGAATTGACAGAGGACACACTGTGCCTAATATTTGCTCTGCCAGATGTACAGGCCCATCAAGGAAACACCCTGTCATTTTATCACCACACTGGATGAACTGGTAGAACTGAATGAAAAGCTTACGAACTGTAAAGAGTTTGCCCTGGATTTGGAGGTAATCAGACTGCCTTTTCTGTTTAAAAGTTACATGTGTACTGTTAGTACCCAGGAGACCATTATATTCTTCTGGTCTGTTTTGTAGGCTTCTCTTTCTTCTGCTTTTTGTACTTCCTGACATCAAAAGACAGTTCATGACCTGTCAGATATTATCTATAAGGTAGAATTAAACCATGTCAGTATTATGTGTTTTCCAATGGTTGTACTGGCTGCATACTTCATACTGAATTTGGTGGTATTACTTCTGTAACTGGTCTTAGCATACATCTCTCTCCCATGTTTTCAGCACCATTCCTACAGGAGCTTCCTGGGCCTGACATGTCTGATGCAGATTTCCACCCGAACAGAGGACTTCATTATTGACGTACTGGAATTGCGCAGCAACATGTACATTCTCAACGAGACCTTTACAGACCCTGCCATTGTGAAGGTCAGCTGCCAAATCCACCAATTTACCACCAGAATTCTTCTTTTTGTTTGGTTTTCTTTCCCTTAGTTGAAGTTGTACTATAGTTGAAAGCACATTTTGTGCTCTGTCATGGTCACTTGGCTCTGCTTTCATTTTATTTGTTTATGTGCCTGTTTCTGTGATGTAAGTGTGGAGTTACTTGCACTAATTTAGCAGTTTTACACTTAACAGTGAAGGACAGAGGGAAAAGAAATCTGGTCCTGGACACATCACTATGAAACCACAGCAGCCAGCCCTGAGCACAAATGTTCTTCATATCATTCTCAATTTGGTTTGCCTTTCAAGGTCCTTCATGGTGCTGATTCAGATGTGGAATGGCTGCAAAAAGACTTTGGTCTGTACTTGGTGAACATGTTTGATACTCACCAAGCTGCTCGGCTCCTCAATCTTGGCAAGAATTCTTTGGACCACTTGCTAAAGGTGTATTGCAATGTAGATGCTGACAAGCAGTACCAGCTGGCTGACTGGAGGATACGGTAAAAACTGACCCCTTAAATGGGCTGGAGCTGCAAGGTAGCACTTATCCTTTTTTGTACTGTTATAGCAGGAGCATGTTTCTAGTTGCAAGCCCCATAGTTGTAGGTTGGTCTCAAAATTAACGAGCACAGCATTTAGCTGGCTGTGCTGTAAGTTCTTCTATGACTTACATTTTCCCATGTTTCTTTACAAAATGAGTTCTCTTGGGAAAATGAAGGAAGATTAAGTTATCAAAAGCTCCTGGATTCTTAGGAACAACACTTAACCACTGCAGCATTGTAGAGAAAGTCAGTATTTGCTCCTCTAGAGCCCCCACTAAAATGTTCAGTCACCCTCACATTATGCTGTTGGAGCAATGAACTTGGCTATACACATGGACCCTGCACACCACAGAGGTCCCAGGTCTGCTTTATGTAGGCTCTGCAGAGGGGAAAGAGTTAGACAAATACCATAGCAAGCAGTTCTGCCATCTCAGCTGCATGACAGTCTTGCTCTCTGGCCTGTGACGCCATCTGGATTGGGAAGTGCACAGGTTGTTACTGCTGTTGCCCAACAAATCCTTCAGTAAGGAAACAGAAGAATTTCCATATTAGTTTTCAGTGTGTTTTATGTGCAGTTTGCCCTGATATGTTTAGTAAGAGGAAGTGACAGCTTGGTTGGGCAGTGGCAATGTATTAGTGTAATTTTGGCTCTTTTTCTAGCCCTCTGCCAGAAGAGATGTTGCAGTATGCCCGTGATGACACTCACTACTTGCTCTACATCTATGATAAAGTGAGGGAGGCGCTGTGGGAGAAAGGGAACGAGCTGCCCACTCAGCTGGAGATCGTGTGGCAACGCAGCAAGGACATCTGCCTGAAGGTAAAGCTTCTCCTGCTTGAATTGCCTGGATCAGAGTATGGGCTTAGTAGGACAGAAAGTCCTTTGCCTGTTCTACATCTGTTGCTAGACATAGGTGTTTTTTTTTCCTCTTTGTGTGTCTGAAAACAGCTGTATAAACTCTAACTCCATTGTGTGCACCTGTTTCACTAGTTAAAATCCTTGGATTCAGCTGCCTTCTTGCTGGTTTTTGAATGCTAGCTCTCCTTGGCCTCCTGATGCTTTCAGGTGTGCTTTTCCAAGAGAGATGTTACATTTCCCATTCTGCTGGATGTTCCTAGAAGTTCAAAGCCTAGCTGGAGTTGCACTAGGAAATAATTACATTGTGCCGGTGGAAAATACTATCTATGAAAGCAGGCCTCGTCTACTGTAGTAAAGCTTGAAGATACTGTACATCTAAAGTTGCTCCTGGAGTTTGTGAGGCTGGTTTTCCTGTAAAAATGGATGAGATGTGTTTTCCAGGGACAGGCTCCCACCAAAGCTTAGGGCAAAAGGTCCAAGACACACTGTACCTGAGTTGATTCATTCCCCGTATGTCCATATGAGATTCTGTCTCAGTGAAGCAATGCAAACTAGAAAGCACAAATCTGATTCTGATCATGAGTGTTTCGTTTTGGTTTTTTTTTTTTCCTGTTCAGAAATACATCAAGCCCCTCTTTACAGATGAATCCTACCTTGAGCTCTACAGGAGGCAGAAAAAACATCTCAACACACAGCAGCTGTCAGCATTTAGGTTGCTGTTTGCATGGAGAGACAAGACAGCACGTCAAGAGGATGAGAGTACAGGGTAGGAAGGCTTTTCTTAGTCGCTGGCTTAATACTTTAGTGAGTTTCTTGTATTGTGCCCCTCCTGCACCCAAGGTGGAACTGCTTTGTTACCTGTAGAAATTGGTGTACTACCTCAGGCTGCTTTTTACACACAAGTCCTGTTATGTTAGCAGGATCTAGATCAGTTAATTTCTTTTTAAGTGATTCCATCTTTTCAGATCTTGCAATTGGGGCAGACTTGTGCACTTTGAAGGTATTTTTTAAGAGCTTTTAACTTTCTGTTCCATTCACACTGCCTCTTTGTGTTGTAGATATGTGCTACCTAATCACATGCTATCGAAGATAGCAGAGGAGCTGCCCAAGTAAGTTCTGTTCATCCTTGAGGAGTCTCATTTGATTTTTAATGTCCAACAAGTCATTTTCCTGGTGTGTGATTACTTCTGCAGTTGATCCCTTCCTTCCAGCTGTCAGTACTGCTTTTTCTATAGTTGTTCAGTTTGGGAGAGAAATAAATAGCAATACTTAATACAGGCTTCTTCTGGGATACATCTCTCTTTTTGATTTTATTCCACTAATAAAACACATTCCTTTGTCACACGTTCCCTCTGAGGTTCTTACAGTATTACAGAGCAAGAGAAGGATGAGTTCCCCCGTAACATGTGTTTGGGTCTTTCTCAGTTCCTACATGGATTGGGGGGAGTGCAAGGGGCAGACCCCTTAAAACACCCAATTTATACATTTTCCTCAGACATTTGCCACTCACCATCTAACATCCATACGTGTGAATAATAAAAATGCATGAATTGGTGATTTCTCCTTATCGCAAACCTGGAACAAAAGATCTTTTTTATCATGGAGAATAAACCCTGACAGATTAATCTGACTGGTGTTACTCTGTCCCAGTCAGGACCATGGTTATATCTGGTTGCATGTCCTTTGAATACAAATGCCTAATGTATTGGCCATAAATACAGCGCACTGAACTTTCCTCATCTCTTTAGAGAACCCCAGGGCATCATTGCTTGCTGTAATCCAGTCCCACCACTAGTTCGCCAGCAGATTAATGAATTGCATCTCCTCATTCAGCAGGCCCGGGAGATGCCTCTTCTCAAGGTAGGAGTAGCTTGTACCACACAAGAGACTCATTTCTTGCCTTCCCTAAGCCAGGGAATGGAGCTAAATGGTGACCTGTGATGCTATGTATGCTGAAGTTTGCTTTTTGAACACTGTGAATACGGTGTTCTGTAGTACAGCAGAAAGATATATTGCAACTTTTTGCCTGTCTCTACTTGTTGTGTACTGGCTTACACAGAGCATAGTTTCCTGGAGAATTAGAGCAGTGAAAGAACAGGCACTACTTGGACACAGTGCAGTTATACTGCACATCATGTTTGCCTGCGCGAGGAAGAAGTGGACCTTGTGGAATTTGTTGATCATGTAAATGGATTCATAAATCTTTTATAGCTATGGTGAAGCAAAAGCAAAACTCCTAGGTGTGAGAGGTTCATTAGTTAAAATACAGCATCAGCATGTTGATATTAATACAGTCTTTCTCCTTCAGTTGAACAAAACTATTTGTGAGCATGTATTTGTCCTTTCTGTGGGAGGCGTTTAAATGTATCCATGTGCAAACCCTGCAGGAGAAGAATTAAAAACGTCATTTTATTAACCTGCTAGCTTGTAACGAATGTGTTGAAAGTGCTGATAAGGTGGCCAGAAGAAATAAGCCAGGTGCATTTAATTGTCTTTATCTTTCTTTCCCATTCTAGTCAGAGGTGACCAAGAGGAGAGCACCTCCATCCGTCCCTGAGGTACTGTTTGCATAATATTTGTTACCTAATGTCTTAAAGCCTTAAACTCAGACAAATGCAGCAGAATTCTAGCTTCTAGAAAGTGGTTTATTCTCATCCATTTTACATGTCTCTCCACTTTAGCTTGTTACTTCTCTGTGCTATGCCCATAACATTACCAGCTGTAAATTGGTATTTTACAAACCATCATAACAGCAGCACTTAAGGCTTCATCAGCAAACACTGCAGCTGCTGGACAGTTTCATGTGTGTTAGTCTATATTGACTGATCTGTAAGAAGAGATGGGTTCCTAAGGCTGTGACTCATTTACTGTCCTTGTGTGTGTGAAGTAAAGCATCTCTCTGTGTGTTTGCACAGATAGCATTTTGATGCCAGATGCAGTGCGCTCAGCTATATTAAGAATATTCAGTCTCTGAATTTCACCCCTTTAGTTGAATTTTCATTAAAGTATCTGCAATATGTGGAAACATTCACAGATTTGTAGAGTAACGTATTAATGCTGTCTGTGATTTGAATCTGCAGAAGCCAGAGAATCCCTTCTTTGGACCACATGACAGGTCCCGGAATCCTGTGAATGCTCTTCGGAACATCTCTACCTTGGGTAATTTGGACTTAACCTGAAAACTGTGCCCATAATGATACAATGTGGCTTTGGCACGGGGAAATAAGCAGCCCTGAAGAAACTTGCAGTGAAATCCCATTACACAAAAGAGCAGTAAAATATATATATGTGTGTGTGTGTGTGTGTGTAATGTATCTAATAAAAAATTTGTCACCTTTTCATGTAGAGCCTGCACCAGTTTTGGAACGTAGTTGCCTCTTTTCAGACGACGAGAACACAACAGATCTTGAGGGTGTTCAGCCAGAGTCAACATGTCTTTTTGCTACTGCCACTCTCAGCATATTCAGTGTAAGCAACATGTTTGATAGTGTCAGGTTTTAAGTAGTAGAAAACATACTTAATAATCTGATAAAACTGTGTGAAAGACAGCATGGCAAGAAATACTAAGGTGGGACACACACGGAAATGATATTGGCTTCCTGTCAGGCATATGGTATAATGAAGACAACTAGGTTAGGAGGCCAGCAAGGTAATTACATCTGTCTTGGAGGATCATTGCCATCAGTGGAGCTTCAAACAGAGGGAGAGATGCCATGCATGAATCAGCAGTAGCAAACCCAATAAAACAGTAATATTTCTTCCCTTTTCTTTTTTAGGAATGTGATAAAGATGAAGGAAACAAGACTTTAACCACTGCACAGCAGAAAGCTCAGCGTATAATGGAATCCTTTGAAAACCCGTTTAGAATGGTAAAAGCTCCCAGCACCTATTTGTTCCAGGCATATCTGAAAGAGCTGGATACAGCATCGGCTGCTGCTCTTGCTGGAATCGAGAGATTGTCCTTCTTGCAAAGCTCACACGTGTGGACTTGTTTTCAAAACACACTGGAATGCCTCTTAGATATATGTCTTTCTACATAGTAAACAGCCTTCCACTGGGGTTTTTTAAACGAGTTTGAGGGTTTTTTAATTTGCATCCCATTTTGATCTCTCCTTTTTGGCTAGAGGTAGTGAGCTGGTGTTACTCTTGTAGTGAATCAGCAGAACAATAGAATACTTTGTTATGGATTTGGAGTAGCAAATGACTAGGAAATAATACCAAAACAACTCCTTTGGGTGTGTGGTTTGGGTTTGGGGTTTTTGTGTTTTACTTGAACGTTTCTCTTGGCTGTAGCTGTGCTAACCCTTCTTTTTCCATATTCTGTTCTAGCTGTACAGTGCTTCTTAAATAGCAACTTTCTGATTTGGATCATTTTAAGTAGCATTTTAAAAGATGAGCTGAGTGCCGTGTGATGTGCTTAAAGCAAAATGGTTTTCCCTCCCTACAGTTCCTACCTCCAGAAGAGAATAATGCCCATGTGTCACAGTCTGCAAAGTTTGACCCGTCATCAAAGATTTATGAAGTAAGACTTGTGCTAAAATTTCCTGCCAAGTAGTACAAAAGAATGAAATAAGTAGATGATTTTCCTCTGGGAACCTCAGCAATAGAGATTTTTCTCCTTTAATTCTTCACAGAAGAAGATTTGAGAAACTTGAGGTGTCTCTATATCTGTAGTTCATTTTTTCTGCAGCATTTGTATCCTTTGAAGAACCAAGGATTTGGGACATCCCACTGTATATTCCCTGTCTGTCAAAGCTACAAACTACTCCTGAAGATGGCATGTTTGTAGCTCAGAACTTTTAAAGCACATGGGTTTCTTTACCTAGTGCAGCACATCTTAATCTCTTTTCAGTGCAGTTTGATCTTTTATACTCTTAATGAAGATCAGCATGTGGTAGCAAGTTTATAAACTCCCTTTTGCCATAGAACTTCAAGGAAGAGTGATCCCAGGTAATGTTTTTTCATTGCAGATCAGCAATCAGTGGAAGCTGATGACTCAGTCACGGGTACAGAAGGAGTCCAAGGATGAAGCAAAGAAGAAAGCAGCCCAGCAGTCAGGTGCAGCCATTCTTCCCTTCCTCAGTGTGTTGGCTGTGCTTTTCCCAAAGCACATCGGTTGTTTCCCAGTGACAGGAAAACCTTAGATGATGGATTGCCTGATGGATGAGATTATTTGACAAAGATTGTACTCTGTTTAGTTTGAGATTTGCTACAAGCTGGTTTGCTTTTTCTAAGCCCCTAGCAAACTTACTCCTGCTTTTTACAGTAATGTTTGTTTGTTTCCACAGCTGCTCGTGAGCAGGCACAGAAGGCATATAAAGAGGAAACAGAAACCATCACATCTGTTCGTCAGCAAGCTATGGTATGTCATTGAATTCCCTACTTCCAGCCTTTGCCCCTCTTGACCTTTATTGCATAGTTCAGAATGCAACCCTGAGCCCAAAAACTCTGAAATACTGAATGGAAGTCTTCTGATAGTGGGCTTGCTGTGGTTCTGCCATGTGTGTAGCAGCAGGCCCCTGGCAACTGTGCTGAGCAAATCTTCACATCCTTCCATATCTTCTGTAGGGGATGTTTCCCACTGCTGCACCTCTCTGCTCCTCACTTGCCTGAGTTCCCCCAAATCTGCCTATGGGCCCACAGCAGATTTCATCCTGTCACTATCCTGTGAAATGACAGCTTGGCTTTTCACCTGAAAAGCCCCTGCTGTGAGGGGAAAGAAAACAAAGCAGTTTAGGCCCAAGGAAGAACACAGTGCTGTTTAGTTGCACTATTATTGCCACAGAGACTTGGGTCCGTTGGGCAGTTCATCTGCATGCTGGTGCTCATGCCTACACAGAGATGTCTCGTTCTGTTCTCCTGAACTTGTCCTTCTTTCTGTTCCATGGGTTGCTTTCACAGGAGGAGCAAGCTAGTAAGAAGAGGGAGAGAGAGACAGTTGCAGGTGAAACGGGAGCAGAGTTGCCAAAACAGGAGAGGAAACGGCCAAAAGCCTCCCAGCAACCAGAGGAGCTGGAAGCACCCAAGCAGTTTACCCCCTTTGATTACAGCAAGTCCAACTTCAAAGTGTTTGCGGGTAAGATCTGGATCTCTTGCTAGTGTGCTGCAGGCTGTGGGAAATGTTGCCAGCTGAGCCCTGAGAAGGCTCTGTGTGTGTGGATGTAAGTGCCAAGGCAGTACAAGCTGTCATAATGCACCTACCTTACAGTGGGGAAATACTGAAAGAAATTAACTTGAGGAATGTAGAGTTTAGCATTGCTTTTCCAATTTGGAAACAAAATCCTGAAACCATTGGCCGTGGGGATTATGGAGTCAGACTTTGCTGCTTTTCTCTGTTTAATTGGACCTCAGGAGCTAGGACGCAAAGATGTGACTTCTGTGTAACAAGTATCCTTGCAAAAGCATCTCCTGCCTCTGAGAGACTCTTCCGGCTTTTAGAGTGTGGGAAACTGCAATGAAACTTCCTTATCATTAGAGGAACACCGTGGAATGAGCTGTTCTTTATGGAACACTTTAGTGACAGCTCCTCTCCTCTCTCCCTTAGGAAGCAGCAAGTCGAAGCAGTCGCCACAATTTGATCCTGCCAAGCAAACTTACGTGGGCAAGGTAGGGGCGTGTCATGAAAGAAGGAACAGAAATGGTGGTGATAGCATGTACCCAGCTAGGGAAGGCAGATCACTTCCTGGATCTGCAGGATGTTCCCTAACAGCACTTAGTACTGAGGTGCAACTTCCAGTCAGAGGCTCATACTTTTTATTATAGCCTCTTTCCATCCAGGAAGAGCTTTCTTGGGACCCCTCAGACTCTCTTCTTGTTTCCCACCTCTTCATATATTCACACCTACACCTCCATACATCACAGGCGTGACACTTGAACCACAAATTCCCAATAGCACATTCAAGGCACTCTCAAGAAAACTCAGTCCAGTTATTCCAGGCCATGCCAGCTCTGTGTTTTGCCCACGTTCTCCACCGGGTACTGTCATTAGGAAAACAGTCTCAGCTCAGAGAATTTTTACTTAATTTATTGCTAATTGAGATTGAGAGATTGAAGAGAAGAAGGAAAACCTGACCAGTCAAACACACAGGTAGGGAAACTTGTGATCAGCACAGGGCGGTTTTTGTGTCATCACCCTCTCACCCCACCCCAGGTCCCCCCTGCAGACCTGGGTTACATAAAACCCCCCACATATACTCTGTGTAGTGCTCATGGCCTGACATCACTGGGCACTCAGGTGTGAAGTAACAGGGTGCTTGTGCATGAACTCATTGGGTGCCCAAGTGTTAAAGTTCTGACACTCATTTTCATGCATTTCAGCCTCTTTCCTGTGTGTTTAACTGGAGGGCAAATGGTACCAGGGAGCATCTTAGATATTCAATAAAAATCCTATTTCAGAAGCTGAACAAGTTTATGCCTGATACTGTAAAAAACAGTTTCCTGTGCAATCTCTTTGCTGTGTCAGTTGAAACTTGTTTCTGGGGGTGGGGGGAAAACAGCCATCTGGTGAATTTGGGACAATCTGTACAGATCTTTCTGACTAGGTGGGTAAGATTTGTCATCGGTGGGGTGTTGTGCCTTGCATGTCAAGGTTAGTTAGACCAGTAGAACAGCACTTGCTCAGATGCTTTTAGTACATGCACATATAAAGAAGTCCTAAAGCATAAAGCTCAGTGGGACCTGACAGCACATGAATCTCGTGGAATGTCCTGTATTTGGCAGGTAACTCACTGTGGTGCTGGTGTTTTCTGTTTGTTTTCTATGCAGAGATTTGCTGGAGCTAGCAAACATCCACATTCTGGAAACCGAAGCATGTCCTACCTGGCTGGGAAAGCTGATAGGTGTGTGTCAGCCTGCTCTGCTCTCATCAGTCCTGGAGTGTTTTCATGCCCTGGAGCTATGGGCAAAGCAAAATATTGTGCTCTATTGCTGTGGGAGCTTAGGCACATGTTTAATGGGAAGAGGTTGCATCACAGCTTGACGTCAGTTTAAGGGGTGGGGGGGGAAGATGGGGGAAAAATAGCTTTGTCAGGATTAATACAATCAAACAACAACTCTGGGTGGAAGGTTTGAAAGGCTGAGGTTAAAGTTTGTGTTAATAGATGTGGGAGTTGCTTTCTTTGGCCACAAATATAAGTAAAGGTGGGGAGAGCATCTGGCTAGCTAGGGAGGGAGATAAATAACAGCATTGCCAGATAGGAACGTTCTTGTTCTGAATAGATACTCAATGTGTAGCTTACAAGGCTTGATCCTTGCGTTTTAGTCATTGAAGAGCAGCATTGGAGGGAGAAAGGTTGTGCCTGCATCATGACCCCTTCAATAGAATCATTGTAGCCTCTCACAGCTTTTCAGTCTCGAGTGCATTTAGAGCAAGAGTTAAAAGTCTTTCTGCAATTGTCTTTTGCAGGGGTTCCAGACACCACTGGCCGAAGAGATAGTCCCTGATCCAGGACCTCTGGGAGTTGCTGCTGAACAGAACAACATTCACCAGTGTTGTCACCACAAGAAACAAACACCAGTCATTGTGCAGTTTTTGTACAGAAACGTTTTAAACCCATTAAATCCCCATTTCCCCCCCCCCCAAAAAAAAAAAGAAAAGAAGGAGGAACATCTTAACTGATGTAATTTTTATTGTATTCCTGTGGGGTTTTGTGTAATTATAGTCACAGCGTTGCTTTGTTTGTAATTTTGAAAGTTTACCCTGTGTTGTCAAATACAGTTTGGCTAAACTTGTCACTTCTTGGAGTTGCTTCAGATCTAAACCCAGCATGTCCGTGGAGTATGAGAGGAACCTCTTGGCATCTCTAAAGCCAGCACAAAAGTAGTAGAGAGATTCAGTAGATATGACTCGAACTCCACCAGCCTGGAGGAGGAAATGAGGCCAGAGTGTCTTATGTTAGACCTTGCTTACAAATTGGACTGCCAGCTCACCTCTTACAAGACAAGGTAATATGAAACATGAGTGTGTTTACCTGGCAGTGTTTGTGTCTTATTTTAAGCAAAGGGTTTATTTTAAGGAGAAAAATTAAGAGTTAGGGATCAGAGACCAGTGAGTTGCAGGGTGAAAGCAATAGCGTTAGGTAGAAGGCAGAAACACAGAGTGAAATATTGGTTTGGGGAAAGCCAGTGGGGTTCCGTGCTGCAATTGAGCACAACCTGTACTATACTGGATATTGGGAACAGTTCCTTCCCCAAAGGGTGGTCAGGCACTGGAACAGGCTGCTCAGGGCAGTGGTGGAATCACCATCCCTGGAAGTGTTTGAAAACATATAGATGAGGCCCTCAGCGCCATGGGTTAGTGGTGGCCTTGGCAGTGCTGGGGAATGGTTGGACTGGATGAGCTTAAAGGGCTTTTCCAACCTACTTGATTCTGTGATTCTGCTAACACTTCGAAGTTTTAAATACCTGCAGTGAGTTATCCTGAAGACTTTGTAGAAAGCGTATCAGCCCACAATGGGATGGATGGATGGATGACAGAGCTTAATGTAAATGCTGACAGCTGAAGGCTGGTAGTGCTGCTGTGCAAGAGGTAAGCAACATTACAGTTTAACAGGCGGGAGTGGAAGGGAAGGGCTGATGTGACTTTGCTTGAAACCACATGAAATCAGTGAGAGAGCTGCTCGTGGGATTACTGGTCATGGCACTGACCAACAGACCTTGCTCCCTTTCCCAAAGGCTTTGCCTTTACTCTGATTTCCTTTTCTAAGGATTTTCTGTTTCACACTCCCATTTTGGCAATGATAGAACTGACTTCTCTTGACTTTTGGGTAGAGATAAAATCTTCCTTCTCCGTTCCTAACCTGCGGGCTTTATTTAACAAAGCCTGGGAGGAGGTTTGGGATTTTGTTTGTTTTCAATCTTTTCCCATATGTCTGTGGCGCAGGGAGCAGAAGGAACAGAGGAGGGTATCTTAGTGTGAACAGAGCCGACTGAGCCATGCTGTAATGGTAGAACAGAGTCTCTTTCTGCCCATAAAATCTGCTTGCCTGGCTGAGTATTGGAGAATGGTTTTGAAAAGAGGCAGTTAAATAGCGATTGTGTGTAAATGCGTTTGCAGGGGCTGCCAGTACTCGTCAGCTTTAGCACTTACCATAGCTCTGTAACTTGAACGATTTAAGCCTTACCAAATCGGCCCATTATCTGCGGAGAGATTAAAAATTCTGTAGTTTCTCTAAGTGTCCTACTTAAAATTCCATGCAAGGTGGACACTTCAAGGGTGATCTTCATTGTAGTCTTCTGCTGGTTTCTCTTACGTGGTTTACGGCCATAGGTTTATGGCCACCTTTAATGGAGGTGACCAGCAAATCACATGCTTTATTCACCTGGTTACATCTATGAATGTGATGAAGTTGTAGCGTTAGAAGACCCCCATCCTAGAACTGCGCTGCAGTCGCTGAGGGCAATCCTCCTATAACCTGGTAAGAACCACTCGTGGTGTAACCTCGGTGTACCACCCCAAAGCCTGCCCGTTGCAGCACGCACCACGTTTTGTAACGCTTCCGAGCGCTGGGCAAGAGCCCGCTTGTACAACATCGGCGTTCGAAACGGCCGAAGCGGACTCTTTATTGACGGGAGTCACTCGCGTTCCCGCGGTGGGGCAGAGCCTTCTCCTCCGCCCGCCCGGGCCCTGCCTCCAGGTGCCGGTACCGGTTGCGGGTGGGGGGGGGGGCCGGACCGGACGCGCCCTTTCACCGCCGGAGCGGAGGCGGCTCCGTTCCGGACGCGCCGCCCCACGTGTCCCCGGGCGCGCCGGCGCGTCACCGCCGGCTTGAGCCAATAGTGGCGCGGCGGCGCGCGCGCTGCGGGGCGGGGCGTGGCGGGGCGGCGCGTGGGCCCCCGCGCTCGGCTCCCGCGCCGGCGGGGTCAGGCGGGTGGCAGCGGAGAGGCGCAGGTGGCCGGTGCGGGGATGACGGAGCGCGGCGGGCGGTGCGGGATGACGGAGCTCGGAGCGGCGGCGCTGATCCGCGAGGGCTGGTTCCGTGAGACGTGCCGGCTGTGGCCGGGGCAGGCCATGTCGCTGCAGGTGGAGGAGCTCCTGCACCACCAGCGCTCCCGCTACCAGGAGATCCTCGTCTTCCGCAGGTGCGGTGAGGCCGGGAGCGCGGCCCGGGCTGGCGGTGGTGTGCGGGGAGCGGGTGGGAGCGCGGCGCCCAGCGCCATGCGGTGGGGCCTTGGCGGCGTTGGGAGGGGGCGGGGGAGCGCGGCCCGCGGGCCGGCTCCAACGCCGCTTCCCCGCTCTGCTCAGCACCACCTACGGCAACGTCCTGGTCCTGGACGGGGTGATCCAGTGCACGGAGCGGGACGAGTTCTCCTACCAGGAAATGATCGCCAACCTGCCCCTCTGCAGCCACCCCGACCCCCGCAAGGTGAGTCGTCCCCGGCCCTCTCTGCGGGCTCTCCCCGGCCGGGGCCCGACCCGCACAGCGGCTCCCGTCCTCCGGACCGGCCCTTTCAGGGTTGCCGCTGCCAGAGGCTGGCTGGGGCCGTGGCTTCTGGCGCTCCCACGCTGCAGGCAGCCCGCGTGGGCCCCGCAGCACATCCCAGCCGGGGCGGGACGAGCCCACAGGGCTGCTGGGTTTAGGCCGTGCTTTTTTAGGCCACGCTGTGAAAGTTCCCCCGTGAGCTCATCCCGCTGATGGCCGGTTCTCTGCCCTCTTCTCTCCCAGGTGCTGATCATCGGTGGCGGCGACGGGGGAGTGCTGCGAGAGGTGGTGAAACACCCGACCGTGGAGTCCGTGGTGCAGTGCGAGATCGATGAGGTGCGTTGGGCTGCGAGGAGGTGCCCGGGGGCTTCGCTGGGACGGGTGGGCTGCCCAGCAGGAAGCAGCTCTGCTTCGCAGCATCCCCGGAGCTGCTGCTTCACCTGCTGCCCCTTGTCAGCAGCGTGCGTTTGCTGCCTTGCGATGCTGGCGTGACACTGACAGCGCCACCTCTTTGCCTCACGAATCATCTACGTGGCAGCTGGCTGCCTCTTTCATGGGACTTCTTTGACACACAAGGGCTTTCCAGGCCAGCGTGGGCCAGGCACGAGATCTGGGGAAGGAGAAGTCTAGCTCTGTGAAGCTGCTGCTTTTCCCTTTCTGCCAGTGCAGAGCAGAGCACTGCTCCTGCCAGAAGAGGATGGTTGCTTTGTTAAGCAGTCTCCTGTGACTGAAAGCAGGAAAGAAGTGGGGGGGATTTGTTTCTGTAATACATGGGCTCATCCCCTCTAGGTCAGTTTGTTTTGATGCTGTACTTTCTAAGATAGTTTTGCTCTTTCCTCAAAGCAGGGCTGTATTAAGAATGGGAAGCGCTGCTCTATGAGACTGTGCACTCTGTCTGCCATGCTAATAGGCATATGTGCCTGGGTTTGAACCAGCACTGCCTGACACCAGCATATTTTTATGTCTTTGCCAGCTGCGAGAAGCTGGTCATGTTCAGTGCAATTGCTGGGCCTCTGGCAGTGGCTCTCTTAACAGTTTTAGAACGAAGGGGGTGATGCAGTGACCGTAGAGCAGAGGTGGGGATAACTCTCACCTTGCATCTAGAAACCTGCAGGAATGGTTTAAGAAGAATAAAAGAAAAGTCTTGAGCTGAGATCACCTCTGCAAGTGATGTCTGCAGGGAAAAGGAGCTGTAATGTCAGATCTGTAATCGTATTCTCACAGTTCCTTGGGGAGCTTTTGAAGCTCCAAGTTCTTCTTGTTGAGTTTGGCAAGGACAGACCAACAGTGTCACTGAACCCTGAGGCCATAGGAAAGGGCTGAGCGCAGCTTGTTGGCTGAAGATGCTGACAGCTCTTGAGGATCTTGCTAGCGAGTCAGGTTTGTGCTGAAGGCATAGAAGGAAATGACTCATTGTGCTCCTCTTGCAGCTGCAGCTGCACAGTAGCCTGAGAAGTAGCTCCTTGTACCCTCTGCTGACCCCCTTGTGCTCTCTGTATTCCAGGATGTGATCCAGGTATCCAAGAAGTACCTCCCAGGGATGGCAGTGGGGTATTCCAGCGCAAAGCTGACCTTGCACGTGGGAGACGGTTTTGAGTTCATGAAACAAAATCAAGAAGCCTTTGATGTGATTATCACGGACTCATCTGACCCCATGGGTAAGAATTCTGGCCATAAAAGGGCACTGCTTTCCACACTCCTCCTCCTTTTCTCTTCTACCCTACCTCTTGGAAGCAATGCCAGCCTGCCCAGGCTCCTTTTGAGTGAAAAGATTCTCACTGGGTCAGCTCTTTTGATAGAGAAAGGGAAGGGTGAAGACCAGAAAACTCTATTAGCAAGGCTTCAAGCCGGCTGTCCCATTTCTTTCCTCAAAATTTAACTGCAGCAGCTATTGCTTCGGGCAAAGAGTTAATCCAGGAATCTCATGGAGGGGGACAGCTTTGCACATGTGCCCACTAATGAAGCAGTAGCTTGTGTGCTGTTGCTGTCTGTACCTAACCTAAAGATGGCTGCAGTGAGATTGCTGTATTTCTGAAGGGGGGAAACTAAGGTAGAGAAGGACCAAGTGTAGTTACAGCACCTCATTTTAGGGGCCTGACAGTGAGCACCTGAGTCACCTTTACTGTTGCTATAGTCAACACAGGAAGAGGCATCTCTAAAAGGCAGTTTGGAGCAGGAGCTCAGTTTAAAAAGAGCTCACTGAAGCAAGAGGCAGGAGCTAAGACTGTCTTTGATAAAGGTCCTGGGCTTGCTATTGAGCAAAGCTAAAATGCTGATGGATTTGCCATGCTAGGTGCAGGCTGGAGTTCACCCGGGCAAAACTCTTTGCTTCCAGATTATCTCCAATGCTTGCGATCACCGAAAAGCCATTTGAAATTCTCCTTTTCCAGTGCAGTCCCTGTAGGCACTGAGCAAACTCTCAGGAGCCCACTGTGTTAGTGTCTCTCTCAGCATACCTCTTCACTCACTCGTCTCCCAGGTCCTGCAGAAAGCTTATTCAAAGAATCCTACTACCAGCTGATGAAGACAGCCCTGCGAGAGGATGGGATTCTTTGCTGCCAAGGTGAGGAGGATGTCTCTGGCAGAGGCTGATGCCAGATCATTGCACAGAGATGCAAAGGGGACTCTTCTTGGGGAGACATTACATAGGCAGTGAGGTCCATTTTAGCTCCCAGGTACAGGAGTGTTTTGATCTGGATGCATCAGCTCATTAACTGCTGGACTGCACTTAGTAAGTCTGGTGTAAGGGTGTTATCTTGCTTTGAAACCACATGAGCTGTGCACAGTAGAGCAGGTTTGGACTTGGGACCGCTGCTAACCTGGCCCAGACCTGTGCAGAAAAGAGGGGCAGCTCTCACCTCACATCCCATCTTCCCTTCTCCCTGTAGGTGAATGCCAGTGGCTGCACCTGGATCTCATTAAGGAGATGCGTCAGTTCTGCAAGTCTCTGTTCCCTGTGGTGGAATACGCCTATTGCACCATCCCCACGTATCCCAGCGGGCAGATTGGCTTCATGCTCTGCAGCAAAAACCCGGTGAGTTCCAGGCACCTCAAGTGCCCTTTTCCACTCCCTGGAAGCACACAGCCTGCCTCAGGCTGTGCCTTACAGAGCTTGAGCTGCAGCTCTGAGTTCTCCCAGCTGAGGCCTCTAGAGTCATGCTGGGTCCTGGTTCTGCCAGCCCAGGGCCCCAGAGCAGCAATGCAGCTTGCTCAGTGCTGAATGAAGCGCAGAACTAACCAGTACTTACCAGTACTGTAACTGGTTGCCTTAGAAAAGGACATTATTTTCTCTCTAGTACAACAAACTTGGAAGGGAGGAAGCCATTGCCAGTTTCCAGAGCCTGTTAATCCTATGGCTTATTGATGCTGGCTGTTACAAAGCAGCACCTGCTTGATAAGGATTGGCTTGCAACTGGTAATCTCATGCAGAGATCCAAGTGAGTCGTTGTTAGGATGTGGGGTGGTACATCCATGTCACACCACTGAGGTCTGCTCTCTTCCCAGTCTGCTGCATTACAGCAAGTCTCTAATGCAGCTGTCACAGGAGCAGTGCTCCTGCCTCCCTACACCAGTGTGTGTGATTTATCAGGGGCGCTGGCAGCATGCACTGTGCCTGACTTAACACAGACATGGAGTTTGCTCTGAAGAGCAAAAGCCTTGCTGCTTAGATGCTGAGGCACAATCTGATAGCTTCATCTGGCCCATGCAGTCTGACCTCATGTGTTGACATCTGTGAATAAGGGCTAGTCACAAGGGGTACAAGAGTGTAAACCCAGCCCTGGGGACTGGAGCTGTGCAGAACCTTTGACCTCATACTAGAAGAGAAAGTCATCTGTTCTGCTGCACATCCTCTTGGTTCTCTGCCATGAACCCAGTGCTGTCACACAGCCTTTTGCTCGCTGCCCAAACACTCCAGAGCTGCCTGACTTCTCTTCTGCAGAACACGAATTTCCGGGAGCCTGTGCAGCAGCTCTCACAGCAACAAGTAGAGGAGAGGAGTCTGAAATACTACAACTCTGACATCCATCGGGCAGCTTTCATTCTGCCGGAGTTTGCACGGAAGGTAAGCAAGGCTGTGCTGCTGTTCCTCCCTCAAGGATGAGGTACAACTTCTCTCAGCAGGATTAGGAGCACACAGGACTGAGGACTTCCTGCAACCCTAAAGGCTTCAGTGGGCAAGTCAGAGCAGGGCAGCATTTAGCATTTTGTATGACATAGCTGAGTATGAGTCAGTGTGGGAAGACTGGAGTTCAGTTTGGAACTGTTCTTTGGGTTCATGTCCCATGCCTTGATGGCAGATCACTCCTACTTCACCTACCAAATGTAAATTGCAGAACTACTGGTTCCCACTGGAAAGCTCCAAAAGGCAGATAAAACGTGGTTGTGGTTTCTGGCACAAACCAGAGGGTAGGGAAAGGATGCTGTGCTGTAGTTCAGCCTGCTGCCTTGCAGGACAGTCATTCTGTCATCTAACTGGTTTGCAACTGCAGGTTCCAGGAAAAAAAGCCTCCTTAGAGGGATGAAGGCAAATGTGTTTCAGAGCCATGTGTCTGTTAAGGACCGGGAGAGCTGCAGTGGGTCCATCCTGACGCTTTATTGTCTTTGGCTGTCTCCAGGCCCTGAGTGACGTGTGAGACTGAGAAGCTGCTTCCTTCCTTCAAGTTGGACCCTGAGATCATCGGTGACGTGGTTGGGACCTTCCCAGCAGACTGCAGATTTGCTCTCCACTGTGTGGGATTGTTTAACCCCTTGCCAGCCAACACTCCCTTTGATGATGTGTTAAAGATGATGGTGCATAAGCCAGATAAGACTATTGAACAGGTCTGCTGACTTAGTGCGTGAGGTCAAAACTGTTCTTTCCAGTGCTGGAAACGTAAGATGTCTTTTTCCTTTCTCTCCATTCTAAATTCTCCCCTCCCTGTGGCCCCCATCCCACCTCCACCCCCTGCAACTGACATGATGTATTTATAACTGACACCTATTTCTGTCTGGTGATCTTCTGAAACCTGGGAAGAGTGCAGAAGGGTCACTGCCTCGGCCTTAAGCACAGAGAGCGAGAGCTTTGTGCCCAGAGTTGTTGCTCTCTCCTGATAGGAGCTCCCTGCTGCTGAGACGTTTTGACTGGTAACGGGTCTGAGCCTTCATGTCCCACTGCCCTTCTGCGACACCTGCACTGTTCTGCAGCACAGTTGGAGAAGTCACAGTGCAAACTGTTGCCATTCACAATAGGTCTCCCTCCAACCCTGATGGAGTAGCAGTATTAAACACCAGCCAGGCAGGCTGGCAGCAAAGTCTTGTGGCTTCTTTTTTGGAAACAGAAGTGCTGAGGTAGGAGCAGGCTGACTCCTGTTCTTACCTCTGCCTCCGAGTGGTTCCAAAGAATGTTTATCAATATGGTGATAGGCGCTTTATATATATAAATATAAATATATCTATATAAAAACCAAACCTTAGATCCATTGCCTGCTGTTAAGTACTGATGCTGGGGAGTCAGTTGTGCTGACAAATCTCTCATCTCGGTCATGCTGGGATGCCTCAAGCCTGGGTATTTGCTAGTCCTTAGGGGGCCTCATTATTTCTAATGCTGCCCCCAGAATCCCCAGATGCACAAGTTGTTTTTCGTTGTACTCTGTCGTGAGATGGATCTGCCTCCACTTCTTTACTTCTGTTTATAAGGCTCCATACCACCGCTGTGCAGTGGGCATCTCCCCAGCACAACCACTGCGGTGCTCGCTCCCTTGCACTCAATTAAACACTCGGCTCTGGTTAAGGTGACATCAGTGTTGGTCACTGTGCTTCTTTGGGGAAGTGTGGGGTGGAACTAGAGGTCCTGAAAGTCTGTTGTGCTTGTCAGGGGTGCTGTGGAGTTGTTCTAACTTGCTCTCTCCTTTGGCTCTAGGGATGGCGAGTTGCAAACAAAACTAAGCTCTGAAGAGTGATTGTTGCATGTTATATTGTAACCTGACTGCATAATAGCTCCAGCTTCTGTCATCCTCTGTGCTGCAGAAGTCAGTGCCTTCTGTCCAAGCTGTTCACCAGCCCGAATGCTGCCTCTGGTATAACAGCTTTCCGAGCCCTTTTCTAGCTGCCCATCTCCCTGATAGCGTCACATAATCCCTGGCTATCACTGGCCCCACTCAGCCGCATCATCCTTTCCTCTGCAAAAGTGTGGTGGCTCCAAGGTGAGCTTAAGCTGAACAGGCCGGGGACAGTCGCTAGGTGGCATCAGGAGTAGACAAAAAAGCTCCTTCTGGGAGAGGCTTTTTCACTTGGTAGGAGAAAGCTGTAGAAGGAGCAAGCTTTTGTAGAGGTTGGGGTTGAGCATTACCATATTTGTGGCCATGCAAACAGCACACGTGGTGCAGCCACTGTGTGCCTACAGCAAGGGAGTTTTGTGGTGTCAGTACCAACCCTGCTGCTTTCTCCCCTTTCTGAGATTTGACACTTCTTTTCCAATGCTCCCTTCTAGTACAGGCATTGGTACAGCTTCTTTGTGGTCACAGGGGTTTGCAGAGTATTGGTAAACTGTAGAGCTGAGTCTGGGTCTCCTTTTTGTTGAGATTACTGTTTTGTCTCTCAATGCTCTGGGTACCTGTCTCCTTTCTCCTACAGCTACTGATTAGTTAGGGCTATTGAGGCGTTTTCATTGCTCAGCTCTTTTAAAGAGCAGAGGCTGCTTCTAGCCACTCCTGTTTAAATTGCTGGAGGACCTGAACCCCATTCAGCCCTTCATCCCTGATAGAAAACTACCTTTGGCACTTTCTCTCTCCTGGAATGGGAATTAAGACCAGGACTGTTAGTCCAGGAAGGCCTTAGAGCAGCTGCCAACTAGTAACAAGTTCAAGCCTTCCACCCACTCTTGGTGAGTACAACAATGCCCAGGAGGGAAAGAGCTTCCTCAAACCTGTTACTAATCTCCACACAGCTAATTACTCCCTCTTTCAGTGAGCTGCCTCCAGCTTTCTAAGTTCAGCCAATGGCCAGTGATGAGAGCAGGAAGAAAGGCTGTTTGTCATCCAGGTCACACAACCTCTGTCCACAGGGTCCTATGTGTAGTTCCCAAGCTATTCCAAATTGCTGTTCTTTACAGGCACTTTCAAAGACATCAGTGTCTTGCAATAGGTGAAGGCAGACATCAGTGCCAGAATCAAGAACTCATAACAGTGCAGCAGGAGGAGGGAGCAAGAGTTTGTCCATCTACAGGTAGTTCCATCTGAGCAGCTCACCACACAGGGGTGACTTAAGGTCTATGTGCTGTTTAGAATGGATTTTGGTGTGTCAATCATCTGTCAGGCAATTGTGTCCACAGATTGATTGATCCCTCCCACAGACATACATCAGGGCTGTTACAGTGCAGGATGCTGCGGCCAAGGATGCTGGGGACTGAAAAGAGACTGGCTGGCAATTTGGGTGATGCCCAACAGGAGAGAACTAATGGGGCCTCACGTAGACCTGAGCACTGAACATTCGAAAGCAAGCACTGCGGTGTCTCCAGGTGGTCAACTAAAAGACTTTGAGTTTTAGCTGGCTTTTGCCCAAGGCTTGTCAAGCAACACTGTTCATAAGCAAAGATCCACAGTGATGTTGTTGTCTAGACATGCTGCAGTCATGTTCCAGCATCTTATTAAGCTAGGAGCATATGAGCAGGGATAGGCTGTGTCCCAAGTAACGTTTAATGTCATACCAGTCAGAGCAGGTGGAGACAAGCGAGGGAACAGAGCCTGATGGGCTTTAGCACATCTATTGCTTAAGCCTCTTGGCGCCTTTTGAGCTCTGTCAGACTCTGCTCTGGGCTTTGCTCATTGGACTAACTCAATTTTTAGAAGTTCAGAAAGGAGCTTAAAAAAATGAAGAGAAATCTCTTGCCTGTATCTCTTGAGCCCTTTCTGGCAGTTAATTGGCCTGAGTGTCGTATTCATCCAGAGCTAATGTTATTGAGGCTTGGTTGAATTATTGATGAAGCTTGGCTGGAGCAAGAGACTGCTGAAATAAGAATGACAATTCATCTTTCATAGGGGAACAGCAGCCTCAGGAAGCAAACAGCCAAAAAATTAGTAACAAGTGGCACCAGGTTCAGGGAGAGAAAAGTTCCTATGATGAAATGGTGGGGGAAGAAGAGGTAAAAGTATGGAAAGTGTGAAACAGCAGCTCAGGTCTGGCAGGAGTATCAGAGGAAATGGCTAAGTATCTTCTCAACAAGTTAAGCACTGAGAAGTTTAGGTGATGCTCTTTCTTGGCTATGTATAGGATGGAGTTAAGTGCTTTCCAAATACCAAAAGGTGGGGAATTGGAGCGAGGGAATCTCAATCGCAGCACAGTGATGTGTGAAGCAGCTGAAGGAGGGGAGGGGTGTTACAGATGTTGGGATCCCAGCTGCAGGCCTGTGGCTGGTGGGGTTTGCAGTGCTCGTGGTGAGGGCTGAGGACCCTGCAGGAGGGAGCTGCCCTCTCCTTGGTACTGAACGGCTGCTGCAGCAGCGCGGGGCCCACATCTCCGGGGAAGCTGATGCTGTGTGCTATGGTGAGGGGCAAGATGATGTATGTGGTGACCCTGCATGTGTTTCATCCCCCTTCAGCTGTAATGAGGAGTAACCAGAACCCCATGCTGTCCGGAGCGCATGAATTCCTGTTTAAAGCTCTCCCAGCTGAGCTGTCCCACATCTTAACGTCCCTGGGGAGCTCTTGCTGACTGAATTCCAAGGCACAGTGTGCATGCGATCCCTCAGGAAATCCAAATGGTAAAGAACCCTTTCTATCTAAGTCTTGTCCAGCCAATCTTACCACCAACAGGACGAGTGTGGTCCAACAGGTCAGGTCATATGCCAGTAGGCAGTAACCCCAGGTGTCCTGACCCTGCTTTACAGCCTGCAATGCCTCCTGCGTGGAGCCAGGCGTAACGTTTTCCGTGGAAAACAGAGGCATTTTTGCAGTACAGGTGTTTCATAGCAAGTAGTCGCTTTTGAAGGAGACTTTGGTGGCATAACCGAAATGTTTAACTTTACATTCTGAAATGGCAGCAGGTTTTGAGCACACCACTGAAGCATTACGCTCACCCTCCCTTCATCCTCCTGGGCTCGACAGGCAGAGAAGGCAGCACAGCTCCCCCCAGCTCCACGTCCCCAGGGAGCTGTAACAGGCTCGTAGTCGTGCGTGCTCTGGCAGCAGCATCCCTGCGGTACTCCCCTCCTCCTCCCCCCCCACACCTGCTCTGCAGCTCTCAGCAGAGATGAGCATCATCCCACGCTCACGCTGCCTCTTCCTTGGGGCTGTCGGATGAGAGCCGATGCAAAGCCGTGGCTGGAGCAGCCACCTGCATGCTCCTCGGAGGCCCCCGGGGAGCGCGGTGCGAGGGAATGCTGTCCTCACAAATGAGCTGTGATTTCAAGCCCATGAACAAATTGGTTTCCCCTTCCAGGAAGGCTCACAACTGACTATTGCTGTATTTATTGCATTGGCCTTTGAAACTAGGGACTCTTGAGGGCAAAGAGAAAGGGTTCCAGTGACAGGAAAGTAGGAGCATTTGAACCCTTCCTTCAGCTGCAGCTGAGTGTTTCACCTTTGGGAACCAGACTTTGTTCTATAAGCCTGATGGAATTCTGCTACGTGCTTTGTGGTGATCTGAACCCAAACCAGGCAACAAATGGGCAAAAGACAGCAAATAACCAGGCCATAGAGGAAAGCAGTTGAAAAGTTACCTCATTCCTTAATGTGGCATTTGGTGCCAGACATAGCCTTAGCCTTTGTATCGCAGTCTTTGCTGCTGTACAGATGCACTGAGGAATGGTCAGGGACCTCTTTCTTGAAAGATTAAAACCTCTCCCAGTGCATGATGCTTGTGCACCTTTACTCATAGAAAAGATGGAGGTTGTTTTATGTGATTGTGGAAGCATATTCTGCTGTATTTCTGAACCCACTCTGCACCTCTGCTGAAGCCACACGAAGTGGGGGATAAAGTCCTTGGATAGCCAGGCCTTTTCCAGTTACTGTGCACAGAACTTTCTTCTGGAGCATCCCTACCCTTACCAGGTTCCCATGGATATGCTCATGGGCATGCTGATTTTGGATAGATCTGCCCTCACTGAAAAGTGGTAGAAACCCACTCAGACCATGTACAACTCCAGACAGGAGAGAGACTTCTAAAGGGTGAGTCAGAAAACAGAAGGAGATGAAGTGGTAAGAGGAAATCAAGGAAAGAATTGTCAGAAATGTTTATTCCTCCAAGGAAGACCTTCAGCTTTTCCTGTACAGAGTGATAAGTGTTTAAGTGTTGGCAAAAACAATAATTGGGGCCCTTCTTAAAGGTCAGCCAATGCAACAGGGAGCAAGGAACAGCAGGAACGAAGAACAATCCTGGTGCTAGATGCTGAATTCTTTCCAATTACTAAAAGGAGCAGTTTTATCACTGCAGAGTTGTTGTACTTCCTCTGGAGAAGGAGATGATGCTATAGCCTGTGGTGGAGAGGATCAGCAGTGGTGGTAGCAGAACCAGCAGGGTCTCTGCAAAGAGGATGGAGGGGCAGAGCTTAAGGAGGACAGACTAATGCAGGGGAAGTAGCAGAGGGAATGTGAAGAAGGGAAGGGCACAAGAGAAGATGAAGGAATGTGGAAGAGAGGCATCTAATATTGAAGGATGCTGTAGCAGAGCCTGGAGGGAACCTGACTGGATTTAGAGATCTGGTCCTTTGGTGGGCAGTGGAGTGTAAGTGCTTTGATGTGTTCTTATTCCCCTCCCTCCCTCCCAGCTGGGAAGGGACCCCCAGCCTTGCCCAGGCTACAAGTGCAGGTTTTGGCGGTGCTATGCTCAGCAGCAGGGCCACAGGTCTGGTGCTGACATATCTGGGCAGAAACCCTCCAAAGCCAACCCCCCGAAGAGGTAACAGTGATTTTATGACTGCCCTTTAATCCCAGGTCAGTCACTGCAGCCTGGTCACTGTTTACATCCCTGTGGGTCTCCCCAGGAGCTGATCTCTGGCTCAGCACATCATCCCCTTTTTTTAGTGGAAGAGCACTGTCATACTTGTGACCCCATTCGCTCAATGAAGCGTTGTAGGAAACAGCCCATTCAGAAGGCAGAGCTGCAAACAAACCCATGTTTATTAGAACAAGCAGTTTGGTTAGAGCAGATGGCCCCCAGCATGAAGACCTGGCAGAGCTGCTGGTGTTGCTGTCTGTCTAGCTTTTGGGCTAGTAGACTCGCGAGGTTTAGTCCTGCCTCATCACCACCAGGATGGGGTTGACTCCTGCCTGCCTGTCAGCCCAGGCACATCTCACACTCACAGGTACCTGCCCTGTGTTCCTCTTGAGCAACCAAGTGTGCTTTCTCCATTTGCTACCTTCCCACTTGCACCTCTCCTGGAGCAGATCGGCTGTGGGTCATTGGGCAAGTGCCTATGGTTTGTCTGCTTGCTGGAGCCTGGGACTCCACCACTCTCTGTCTCAGAGCCCCAGACTGGCTGGGAAGTGTTTGACAGAACCCATCCTAAGGGCTAGCACAGCAATCCTGATCAGCTGCGGATATCAGATTGGAAGGAAACAGCTCATGGTTCACCTGGAAGCAGAGGGCAGCTCTCACAAGGGGGTGAGAAACAAGGAGGTTACAAAGTATTTTGAGGAAGGTTGGTTTCCAGAAATGGCTAGCTTGTCACCTTCCCCACAGGGCTGTGTGACCCTGAAAAGGTTTTCTTCTTTGTATCTTTCAGTGAGGGAATCCACTGTTTCTTTTCAAATGTGCATGGAAGCGATGGCATCTTTTCCCTCAGGAGCATCCGGGGTGGTCTCACTGGCATTAGGAGCTGCATTATTTGCAGGGAAAGCTTCATCCTGCTGTTTCCAGGAACTGTAATGCTGGTAAGCAGTAGAAGTGGGGAACAGGTTTTTCTGCCTTCTGTTCTGTGTCCTGCCACAGCATCCCTTTGGCCAAATTGCATCCCTGTGGGGTTTTTACATGTGCTAAATTAGGATCACAATTCACCTTTTGACTGCTGTTTGTTGTTAGGGTCAGAAGAGGACTTGCCCTGAGGCAGTGTTTCTGGAGAAGGGGCCAGTGGTGAGATGGGATCCTAGCTCTGCCTCTGCATCTCACAGGCAGTGGTGCCATCCCCAAGTGATAGGGACGACGCAAAGCAGATAGAAGTGTTTAATAGCACCTTCTGCTGGCCTACGGACCAATCCCACTGGTAGGACGGCCTTTTGGGCAAAGGAGAAGCCTTAACAACTGTAAACCAGAGATCAGAAATGGCAGGAACTTACTCCAAGCAGCCTGCAGTGAGTACCAGCACACCCTGAGCCTTCTTCTGAAGCCTCACAGAGCAAAGCAGCTCCAGCTCTGACCAGTCTTTCAGTTCCCTGTTTTACCTTTAATACATTTAAGCCCAACCTCTCCAAGTCAGGGTTCACCATGTTGATCTGTACTTCCAGGGTAGGTTCAAGTCATATTGAAACAGCACTAGGAGCAAAAGCCAGTAACTTCCATCTGGCTTCCAGGTAGTCTTGTGTAGGTTTGCAAGACAGATTATGTTACTACATAGCTGCAGCCTGTGATCATGTACAAGGAAAGCCAAGTATGTTGGCATTCCCCAATGAGATGCATCAATGGATGCAGAGATCCACATCCAAATCCCCTGGAGTCTGGAACTCAGGGTCCAAGCCATTATCTGAATACTGGTGGTCAGAAGTGTTAGAGGTTTGTGCAAGCTGGTGGCCTATTCTATCCAACATTCTGTTCCCAAAGAGAGCTCAGTTTTAACTAGGAGAGGCACAGGTAGTGCCTACGATTTCTCTGAGTGGAGAACCAGCATGTTACTGGAGAGTCCCAGTCCTTTGCTTCCTCAGCCTCTGCAGGTCTGGCACATGGAAAGCCCAGAGGCACTGAAGTATCCCACTCAAGCAGCCAAGTGTTAACAACCTCTCCAAAGTCTAATTTGCCTTTGATATAGACTTAATTGTTTGCGTCACCCACTGGGCTGGGGGAGGGCTATAAAAGGGGCTGCAGCCATTGTCTGAGGCAGAAGAGAGCCCAGGAACAGCTCCCTCTCCCAGTCTTCCTCATTCAGCACAGTAGTCACAGCCTGTGCATCATGCAGCTGGTGGCCAGCCTGGTGTCCGTTCTGCTGCTGGTGTGGAGCGTGAGAGCCACGGCACTGCCTGGAGACGAGAGACTCGCAATACAGAGCACCAGGGTGAGTATAATGCACCCTGGGCAGGAGCTGGGTGAGGTGGGGGCACGCAGGAGCAGGCTGGAGCCAGGGGAAGGGTAATAAGGGCAATTAGGCTTCACCTGATGCAAACTCTTCCACCTCTATATTCCAAGGCACTACAGCTTCCTGCACTGCAAAGCTCTGCCTATTAATACAACTTAGTAGCCGATTTACTTAGGAAAGGTACCAGGGCAGATGACAGAAAGATGCAAAAGTGAAGTCTGAGCTCAGAAAAAACTGGCAAGAAGCACAGAGCAGACAAAAAAAGGAGAAAATAATATTGCTTAAAGAATACAGCATGAGAGAATGAAACAGTGCTAGGGAGGGAGAGAAAAGATATGTAATTGGTAAAATGATCAAGGGAGATGATATTTTAAATAGGACTCATGGGAAGGACAAATGTTTAAAAGATGGGTTCAGTAGGAAAGTAACAGAGGAATAATAAATGAAGTAATTATATCAGAATAAAATTGCTTTTTCCAGAGTAGTATTCACAAGGGGAGTTATACTGACATAGTTCTGCTAGAATAATTACACTCTGAACCAGCGCAGCTCGATGCAGTGGCAGAACTTATTAGAGCAATATAATTATCCTACCAACTGGCAAAACCCTAATATTATCATGGCTATAGCACTATAATAACTTTGTTTGTACTGTTTCCCTAAGAGGCCGAAGGGGTAGGAAGCAAGAGTGTAACAATCACAACCTGCCTTCTGCTTGCCCTCGCCCCGCGGTTTTCTCACCTGCATGTTCCTTGCCATCCCTGCTGTTCCTCGGAGCTGTCGTCAGTCACCCCACACTCTGCCAGTCCGGTCCAGAGCTGTATCCATAAGGCTGCTGTTGCTTCGTTCCTGCAAAGGAGCTACCCAGGGAAGCGAAGGATCCCAGTATTGGTTTCAAAGGCAGTAATTTCTCCTTTGTGCATATCCACGTTGTTTTCTCTGTCTCAGCGTTGGCTGCAGCTCATCCATCAGTGTCTCACTGCTTCAGGAGTGGGCTTACATCCCATTAACAACAAAACTGGCTGCAAGAGAGAAGCGTACAGTGTGCGAGGTGCTAGGGCTAGTGTTGTGCTAGAGATCAGGGCTGCTGCAGCTGGCTGGGGTTAACCCTTCTGGGGATAACTGTGACCTTCCAGCTGTGCATTCCTGCAATGGCAAATCCAGTACGTACAGAGTAAACTCTGTACAAATCCTAGGTGTTGGGGAAAATAAAACCAAGTTGTAGGGAATAAATGGGTAAATAAGGCTTTGGCAAGAATTAATTCAAGTGTAATGACTCTTCTACACGCTGTTGCTTACAAAATGATATAATAGATATAATGATTCTCTTCAGAGCATTCTGCTAATACTAATTCTGTTAGATACTAATGAACCAGTCCCCACAGGCACCACTGCTGTAACTCAGACAAATGCTTTAAGTATGAAAACTATTTGGATTTTACATATAAACAACCATAAAATGCATAGCAATGGGGAGCAAAGATCTGTGCGTTCAGATGCGCTCTTGGATGTAGTACAGGGACTCGAGCAGCTACCCCAAGGTGTGCTGTAACCTGTGCTAAGGTCTCTAACTGCTGCCAAAGAGCCCTGATCTCTTGCAGCTCAGGAAGAGCAGGGATGTTAGGAATGGATTGCCGCAGAGGAAGAGCTGCCTGGTTTCACTAACAGCCACAGCCGATCATGCATAAGGAATACCCCCTAAGAGCAGGCTCTCTGCCTTCCTCAGCCCTGAGCCTGGCTTGCAGCAGGTTATTTCAAGACATAGGGCTCACAGCTAGGAAGGAAGCTTACAAGATAACGTGACCCAAGAGGCATCTTCAGCTGGGTTCCCCAGTCTGTCCCCTAAAGGCTCAAGTCCTTTATGTGCTTGCAGCACAGGAGTAGGAATCAGGACAGGCATAAACTGGCTTCTTTCTTCTGCCACAAACATAGCGTGTTATTTTTCTATGCCTCAGTTTCTCTTGGGGGGAAGCAGGGTTGGTTACTAGAGCTAAGAAAGTGGTTAGAAATGATCCATGAACATCCTGGAGCATACAGTAATTGCTGCTGTCTGGGTCTGTCCATCTTTTGAGTCGCTCACCACAGTGGTCCTTAAGAGAGTCAGTGGATAAACACAGCCGTCCCAGCAGTAAACGTGGCATTTGTGAGGAGTGGCATGGAAATGCACTTCCAAGATTCCCATACACATTGGGAAACAGGATCTGTTCCTATCAAACCATCTATCTCCACTTGTCCAGTACCATGTCTCTGCTAGTGAGTCTCAGAGACCTGAGATGCTCAGGCAAGAAGCAGTTCCTTAGGTCTGATGGATGTAAAGTGAAGGGAAACAAGATAACTCACAGCTTGTTACTGACGGAAACCCCTCAAGCCCAAACCATTCTGCTGTGGCAAAGGGATGGAGCTCAGCAACCCAGAACTTCATCCTGCCTTCCCTAAGGTCAGGCTATTGGAATATGGGCTCTTGGTCTTGAAACACAAGCTGCTGCTGGAATAGTTTGCTCTTAAGTACTAAAGGTATTTATACCAACCCAGCCTTTTCCCCTTTGTTACGTTTCATTCTCAGCACTTTACATGGGGTTGCACTTAATATTCCTGAGGACTTGGTGCCTCTTTCCCAATGATCCCACAGAGGATGCTGAGCCGTCGGAGCGGTGACGGGAGCATGGCTTTACCAGGAGAGGAGGTAGGGATCCAGTTAGTGCAGGCAGCGAGGGATTTTGCAGCCGATTCATATCTATTTGGTAGCAGCCCTTTTCCAGTTACAACCCACACGTGTGCCTGTCCCCTTCCAGCTGGGAGAGGGGAGGATTGACCCCGGCAGCCGCTGATCCCTCAGCTCCAGCACTGCTTTGCTGATGGGAGAAGCGTTATCTCCAAGGGCAGGAAGCAGGGAAGCAAGAAGGGACCCCATGGTGGATGCGTGCACCCTGCTACATCCCCATCCTTGATGGCTGTGGGGGCCAGGGCCTCCATCCATCCCTCCCTTCTCCCTGCCCTCTGCCTGCAGGAACAGAGCACAGTGCGGAAAGACGCCATCCTGAAGATGCTGGCGGGCCTGCTGGACAGCGTGGACGTGGGGCGCGAGGCGGCCTCCCCAGCCATGGACGAGGAGGAGGGCAAGGTGGAGGAGGAGCGGGCAGTGCTGGGCCGCCTCGCGCAGCTATCGCCGAGGGACCGCAAGGCTCCCTGCAAGAACTTCTTCTGGAAAACCTTCACCTCCTGCTAGTGCCCCCCAGCCCGGCCTCACCCCCCGCCAACACCCTCCCCTCCCCTCCCCTCGGCTGTCCCGGCCTCCCGGCTCCTTTCCTTTTCTTCTTCACCCCTCAGAATAAAGCATGGCGCCTCGGGGGCTCGTCTCTGCCTCTCTGGGGAGCTCTTGGGACCCGGTGGAGGTGGCGGCCATCTTGTGGGTGCCCATGGTGGAGGGCGCCATCTTGTGGGGGGCGCTGGTGGGCGGCGGCCATTTTGGAGGGGCTTCGTAGTGGTGAGGGGTGTGCGGTGAGGATGGAGGCTCTTGCACCACCACGAGCCCCTCGGTGGGAGCAGGAGCACAGCCGTCATTAAAGGTGCTGCAGCTCAACCTGTGAAGGGCCAGGTGGGTGTTTGCATCCCTGCCATGGGGTGGGAAGGTGAGGTGCAGGTGCTGGGAAGCAGGGGTTGTGTCCTGAGGGGTGCGAGCCCCCATGGGTACTGTGGGATGTTATCATCTGGAGAGGATGGTTTGGGAATGTGGGAAAGCATCCCCCGGTGCTCCATTCCACACTGGCTTTGACTTGGGGATGGCTGCGTGAAGCACCCAGTGGTGCTCCTCAGGTGGGGGGCCACGGGCATTGTGTGGGGATGTGGGAAGGGAAGATGTGCCTTGACCCTGGCCTTTTGGTTGCCAGCAGGTATCTCCTGAGCAGTTCCAGGTGTTTGGGGGCTCCATACGCATAGAATTACAGAAATATAGATTGGTTTGGGTTGGAAAGGACCTCGACATCATCCAGTTCCAATCCCCTGCCATGGGCAGGGATGCCTCCCACCAGACCAGGTTGCCCAAGCCCCGTCCAGCCTGGCATCTGAAAGGGATTGAAATGAACTGGCTGTGCTGCCAAGCTCTGACTGCTCTCGTTCTCTCCTGGTTTCTTGGTGTTTTGTTCTCCTGCTTAAGAAATCAAAGCCATAACACCTGATTTATTTACCTCACCAACCAACTCAAAGCCATAACACCTGATTTATTTACCTCACCAACCAACTCAAAGCCATAACACCTGATTTATTTACCTTTTTGGGTGCCGTTTGCTCTCTGGAGAAAGGTAGGGTCTGGAGAGGTGTGGTTGGTTTCTTTCTTTTAACTTGCTGAGGAGTATTTTGAACCTTAAAACTGATGGGTAGTGTAGGGGTATGAAAGGTGTCTGAGTTCAGCACTGAAGGAGACTGCTGAGGCCTTGGTCCCACATGCTGGCAGAAGGTATGAAATCCAGTTGCTCTATTTGCTTTAATCCTTACTATTAACAAGGTGAGTGTTGGAGCTACCTTGCTAGGAATGCCCTCACTAAATAGCAGATTTCAGCTGTATGGGGGTGACAAGTGCTGTATAAGAGCTGACAATAGGCATTATTGTTTGTAAGACATCATGTCTCCAAGGTAGGCCTGGCCACTGGTGAGAAGTAGCTGGCAGTTATTTATCACGGCTTGCTTTTAAACCTTTCCCTTTTGGGTTTGGAGGACGGTGCCCATGAGGTCGCTGCTCTCAAGAGCAGCCCTTTGGGTTAATCAGCAGCCAGGCTGTTTTCTTGCAGTTGAAGCAACGCTTCCACCTCCCCCGCTCTCCCGGAATAATGAGCGATGCAGCAGCTCTGGCACCGAGTCGGGCTGGCTTGCCGCTGCCGCTTTGCTCTGTGTCAGACTCCATTTGCACCGTGTCGTTTGCCGTCGAGATCTCCGGCTGCGTGTCTCTGGCTTGCAGGAGGAGTTAGAGCCCTGTGGCTTGTTTTATTTTTCACTCTATAATGAAAAATAAGATCCTTGCTGGGGGAGCTCAACGACTCATGTATGGGTAATGGGATATGGAGCTTTCCAACTGCGCTGCCTGCAGCACCCGGCTCGGGCGCAGGAGACCTGGCATTTGCGTTGTATCATTAGCTCCCTTTCAATACCTCAGTTTCCCCGCCTCTCAAAGGGGGTGATAGCTCTTGTCTCTTGTAATTTTTCTTAAGGTATGTGGATGACAAGTGCTATGTAAGAGCTAAAAATAGCCATTACTGTTAGTAAGACCTGCGTAGCACTATGAGACCAACCAAGATGCTGGTACTTTAGAAGTGTTCTCATAAGACTTGCCTTCTTATCCACCGTTAAATCTTGTCTGTGATGATAATGTTCAGGACAGTGTGTAGTGAAAATGAGAAACTCCACAGCACATGGACACAGGGATTGCCCCTAACAGAGAGCTGCCTGTTCGGCAAACTCTCTGTGCTGTGTTATTAAGTGGCTCCTGGAACAGAGAGTAGCGCAGCTTCTCTCCTTGTAAATTTGGAAGTGGAACTCTCCTTTCATCCCTGCAGATGGTTCCTGCTAATGTAGGCTGAGGCACACTGGCTGAGCACCAAGCCGGAAGTCTGCACCGCCAGTGCACGTGCTGTGGATAGGGGCCAACACAGTCAAGGCAGCTTCTTTCATCAGTGCTGAAATCAGTGTTTGAGCTGGATTTAATTTTGCAGTTTCCTTACTGAGTCAATGTGCTGAGGCTGAAGGGCTGTCAGATCCTGCCTAATGACGGTGTTTAATGTTGGGGAGCGTAACATGATAAATCAGAGTTAGTGGGAGAGGCTAAAGGAAGGGTTACAAGTATGTTATATATGGGCATTTTCTATTTACGTTTTCACATGAGAATTGTCTAATGGTATATGGCAAATGGAAGCAAGAATGGTACTTCTTCTTTAGATGCAATAGCCAATGCATGTTAAAATCTTGCCATAGCTCAGAGTGACTGTGTGTGGACAAGTGGATAATACCTATGAGCTGTCTCCAGGTTTTTGGAAAAGTGAAAAAGATGCATTAAAAAGTAAAAGAAGATGCCAGGAGGAGCACTTTTAAAGTCAGCTGCACACACAGTGCTGACCTCACCTAATTCAATGCACAGTCCAGTGATGTTCACTGTGTTTATCTATTATGCAGCTTATGCATCAAGCTGCAGGCAAGGGAGGGAATTATCATGGGGACAAGCTCAGCTGTGAAGCTACAGCGTGTGCAGTACCCAGGGGTAACTCCATGTGTGCACATCCTATCCCATGATAAACATGAAGTAGTCCAAGGTAGCTGATTCTTCAATGAAAACAGAATAAATCCCTATTTACTCTGAGATCAAAGCATGTGTATATGTGGACAGATAGGACAGAGGAGGTAGAGAGGTGGTCGTTCGCAGTGTAGTACCCTCCATGGTGACTTGTTTGTACGTGCTTTTAGTAGTGAAGATCTCATTTTAATACGTGCTGGCAGGTAAGCTAGGAGGGAATCAATACTTCTGTGTGCATTTTCAGCCTCAGACAATGGAGAGCGTTGCAGTCTGGCTGGACTTCACAAAGATACTGTCTGGCTGCAGGTAGCTGTCAAATGGATTTAAATGTAGTGGAAACACAACAGTATTGCCCAGTCTGGTGGTCCTCTGTCATTCTCAAGCAATGCGTGACCTGTGAGGCTCCTTTAGTGTTGATTACAGCTACACAAATGTAAGGTTAGATCTATACTGCAGGGAGAATGAAGCATAAGGTTGCACAGCGTGTCTTTTGTCTTACATTGTTACCGCATTTGGCTCTGCTCAGAAACACTGAGCATGTGTCTGAAAATTAGTAAGTTCCTTTAATTAAAAAAAGCCTTTTTTGAGGTTGATGGGGTATGAACAGTCAGGTACAAACTGGGGAAGGAGTAACTGGGTTTGCACTAAAGGGCAATTTTCACTGAGTTAAGCGAATTCTGCTGTTGCTCTTGGTCACAGATCGATGCAGTGGCTCTCAGAATGCGTTCTGAAGGGCTGCTTGTTTTTGATGACCTTCATCTGCTAAGTCCGTGGTTTAGACAGCAACAAAATTGACAACATCCCTGTGACACAGGCAGTGTTCAAGGTCAGGTTGGACAGAGCCTTTGGTGACATGGTCTAGGGTGAGGTGTCCCTGCCCATGGCAGGGGATTGGACCTGGATGATCTTCAGCTCCTTTCAAACCCAAACCATTCTGTGATTCCATGAATTAAAGTGCTGCTTTCATTTGTCTTTCTTGGCAGTATGGGCTCACAGATTTGCCTTATGCTTTGTGCTTGGTGGTGGGAGATCCTGATCCAAGAGACATTCCTGTGTGTCTTCTAGCCATGGTGCTACGTGTACCTCTCTCTGTAGCTCTGCTGTCTTTCCTGCCACAATAGGTTTTGTTGAGTGGAAGAATAACACAGGTCAAATAAGGCATTTGTTCACCTTCTGTCTGTTATTTGCTGTAAATAGTTTATGTGCCCTTGTTCTCTAAGCTCCTAAAGCCTCTCTTACGAAGTGGGCTTTGAAGATGTAACTTCAGTTGCTTCTCTGAGCTCCAGTATTCACAGAGCCCCCAGAACCAGCAGGCTGTAAATGCATTTTATAGCTGATGAAGACTGCTTAGTGAAAGAAGCTGTTACCTTGACCATTCAGAATGTGCGGTAGCTTCATATAAGACATGTGCAACATAGGAAATCCTGAGTACAAATGGCTTGGTGGATTGGGAGGATGTCTTACACAGAGGGCTTTTTCTGTCTTTGCTGAACCCTGGTAGGACCTGCAGGGCTTTGAGAGGGGGCTGCGAGGCAGCAAGAAGGGGTTTCCAGAGCACTGAAGATTTGCAGACCAGGTCAGAAGGACAGGCAGTGTTAGTGTGTTGTGGGGTTTGGTGAGACCGTAGTATGAAGGTCTATGTTGTAAATGGCTGAGATGGGAAGTTAGAAGGTGCTCCAACACGGATTTATGAGATGCAGCTTTTCTTCAGAGATTCATAAGGAGTTGCAGTTGGAGTTACTGCTAAGGCAGCAGATGATGAAGTGTAGGTAGGTAAAAATCAGTTATCAGAGACACAGCAAACTGGGACTTCTCAGCATAGGGGGAACTTCCAAAATGAAGATTCTGACCGAGCCCTACTGCAGAATATCTGTTGTGGTTCAAGTTGCTTTTCATTTCATAAAAATCCCTGAGCCTTTAAAGCAGGAAATATTTAGGAGGCAAAGGACCTGTGCCATGTAAGTGAGACAGGAGGTGAGGGAGAACAGCACATTGCTGTTCATCAGCTGGGGTGAATGAGCTCTGTGCAGAACCTGGGAATACAAGCAGAGACTCCAGAAGCTACTGAGGAGCAGCTGTACCCCATGCAAAGGGAGATCAGTATAACTCCCTCTGCTGAGCCTGGGAGCCTTCTTGTAACAGGCATGTCTGATCTGTGTGTTTCTCTTTGCCTACTCCAGTGCCTTTGGAGCTGACTGAGCTCTCGCTCTCAGATTTGTCTCTCATTTTGCTGCCTTGGGAAGGAGGTACCAGATGAAAAAAAGCCAGCATTTTCAGTCCATTAAGATAGGAACTCTAGAGAGAGCTGTTTGAATCTAAACGCAAACCTTCCAGCATGTCTGCTTCTCGCTTGTTAAAATTATATAGGGCTCCTAGAAGGTCTCAGAAGAAACATCTGGGAGGTGAAAGAAACCTGAACAATTCAAATCCATGTTTTCCTCCTCCCCAGAGACTGTCTTAGTCTGAAGTGGTAGGCTGGGCTCGAGAGGGGTTGTTGTCTAGCAGGACCACAGCACGCAGGGGAATAAGTAGCTGTGCCAGAGGAGAGAGCATGCTGTTTCCCTGGGCTCGGGGCATTCAGCTGTGCATGAGGGATTTCAGTCCTAGCAGTACCTTGGGGACGTGGAGAGCTCTTGTTTTAAACCAATTAATGTTTAGTGTTAAAATCATTATAAGCAGTCTTTACAGCTGGGACCTTGTTGAGTTTGGCTGGAGGTCAGGCCTACTTCCTATTGGAAGATTGTTTGCTGGTTAGAGAAGTCTGCTGTTAAAAACGTCTTCAGTTTCACAGGGATGTGCTTGGCTGGTGTATTTGTGCTCTTCTTGACAGAGGAAGAAGCCAAGGATTTATGGCCAGGAAAGCTGCCCATTCCTGGATTGTACATTCCAGAAATTGCCCGGGAGAGTTTTCATCGCTTAGATGATGTCTATCATTTTAGACACACAGATCACTTGCACAGAAGGAAGAGTCTTCAAATCTGTTTGATTTCACTGTGACTTTATTCATGTATTTGAAGAGGAGATTGCTAGATAGCACTGGCTGTGTTGGTCTCCATTAGTTAGTGAACACAGCACAGGCAGCCGCTTCATTAATAGAAAAAGAGATAATATTGTATACAGAGCTTTTAACTCTTCCAGCTGGGACAAAGCTTAGTGCAGGGAGTCTCCTGTTCACAGTGAAACCCAGAGGTTAGGACATGTCTCCACAGAAGCCTGGTTTACTCCGAGCTCTGCCTCTGTCCTTGGCCTTGTGCTGCTTTGCTAGTCAGAGGTAAATCAGTCCCATGGTGAGAGGTGCTGTGCCAGAAGCTTAGGTGCAGGTGTACACACAGGGAGCTGCAGCTGCCTAAAAAGCCACGGATTTACACTTTAGGAGCCCAGAACCATGGGGAGCAAACAGCAGTCTTTGTGCTCTAAAATATTGGCTTGCAAACAGTGCTCATCTTCATCTGTGAACTGATGAATTTACCCACTGCTGGGAGCCAGAGGGCTGGAAAGTGCCTTATGATTGCTCTTCCGAAAGGGAGAGCTGAACCTTGTTCAGTGCTGGAAGGCAGCTCGTCATGCCATGGGACAGAGTGGGCTGGAAAGAAGCAGAATAACAGAAGAAATGCCACTGGTGGCCTTTTGCTTCCTTCCAGAATGTCTCCATGTTGCAAAGCTCTTTAAACCGTGTGTGAGTCAGAAGCTGTGCGAGAGGGGACATAAGCCCAGTAGGGTGAGGCAAAGGACTGTCCTCCCTCCCTTTAACCATGTAGTCACAAGTAGGCTTGCATTTTGTCAGTCTTCTTACTGTATTACTGTGCCTTGGTATAGAATATGGAATTACTGAGTGTTATCACTGCAAGGAGAGGCTGTGCACCTCTGTGTTTGCACATTCTTCCATTTTTAACTAGCAGTTTTCATGAAGGAGTCTTTGAGAAATGATCCACCTTTGCCAACATTCTTGTGCATCAAGCAAGAATCATTCCTATTTAACAGACGAACCAAAGTACCAGTCAATATAGGAAGCAGGCAGGAGGGTGAGCACAGCAATCCCGGAAGTCTCACTTGGGGCACAGAATACAGTTATGTCCAAATTGCTGCACCTGGGGAATCTTCATGTGCTTTTGGGTGTCTTTGAACAGTCACAGCCCCAGGCAATGCTCTTGGTGGCAATAACGCACCAAGGACAGCCCATCTTTGTCAGCTCCTGTATCAATTGCAGGATCTAGGCAGGCAGAGAGACAGGTTAATAGGTTTCCTGTTCCTGTGAGCCCTGTTGTGACAGCTGGTCAGCTCTGGCTGCAGGCCTTCATAGCTCTGAATGGCAGGCCATAAATCAGAGCTGGCACTTAAAAGAAGAACTGTAATGAAAGCTGAGAGATTCAAGGAGAATTCTTTTCCTGAGTCCCATCCCATTTTCACACGTGCACGTACAGACCCTTGCCCTGTCCCTCAGAAACATTTAACCAGGCTTCACCTCTCTGGGAAGACAGACTGCCTGGTAAATGAGATGTCACAGGCAGACACTGCCCGAGCAGTAAGGGGATTATTTCCCAATTATTTGAAATGACTTGGCACAAGCACAGAAACCATAAATAATAAGGAGCACTTTGGAAAGTTGGAGGCAGCCTCAGGAGCCTGTGGGAGCTTCCCAGTGCAGAGTACACACGCAAGGGAACTCCATCTCCTAGGGTGTGCACTGCAGAACAAGTGGGTCACCAAAGCAATCAGCCCAGGGCAGTTTGTTCTGTGTGGCTCCCAGATCACTGCTGGCAGTGGAGGCTGCAAGTGAGTCCTGTCTAGTTGGTGTGGAATTGAGTGTGAGATGCTCCAGGCTGACCACCAAAAGCAAGTTAGCATAAGAGGTGTGTGAAATGCCTTTTGCAAAGCACTTCTGGGCTATGAACTTGCAGTGACAGCTTATGGCATAGGACACTTGGCCCAAGATGCAGGTGGCTCTCATCTTGCAGTAGATGTTTGCCTACTGCATACCTTTTTACTCTGCATGGAACTAGATGAACTTAAGGTCCTTTCCAACCCTAACTGTTCTGTGATTCTCTGTTTGTTGGTGGATATATTTTACTGGTATCATCTAAAAGATGAGCTTTGTTTTCCCACAAATTACATGGAAGTGTTTGACTCTTCTCTGGCATTTGCGCTCTGCTTGTGCCTGTTCTTGGAATACAAATGTTATTAACAAGAATAACTTGAAGAATGAGGAGTCCTGCTGCGAAATCACCCTTGATTGCCATGCCCATTGCACAGTCCCCTCAGTGTGGGGCTGTGGAGGCTGTTTTTGCTGTGCCTTACAGGCTTTCCTAATACTAAACCACTTGTTTAATTTATCATTACTTCCTGTATTGCAGGAGGCAGTGCAGTCCCTCACTGGGGCTGATTCAACAGCCTGTCAGGTCTGTCTTTAACAGCTCTGCCCCCCAAAATGCTGCTTCTCATGCTGAATGGCTTTCAGTATGAGGAGAAAAGGTGACATAGGAGAGGAGGAAAATGAGAGAACATGCAGGTGACTGTCAAGGCCGTCGGCAGATAGCAGTACTAGAATAGGATATCAGTCTGTAGACTTCCAGATCCAGTTAAACTGAAAGTTTTCAACTTTTGAGCTCCTCACCTGTCTGAAGACTGCAGTGTATTGGGGGGAATATTACAGTGATACAGGAATAAAAACCTAACAGGCTTTGAAGACTTTCTTAAAGGCAAATACGGTTCAAAGCAAAACATTTTGGTCCATCTGTGTCCCATTACTAAGCTGGGGCTATCATCTATTTTCATTAGGCAGGGCCTGAGCATGTGGGTGTGGACAGAGGCCCAGGCAGCTGCCCTGGACACCCGGCTAAAAAGCACCATATGGAAAAGCCTAATGTATATTAACAGGCATCAGAGAGCAAAATTGAAAGAATAATGGCCCATCCACATGCGGTAGCCTCAATGAGACAAACTCTCAGCACCAATCTGTCAGCTGCAATTTTGGGTCATTACAGTGCTGCTAAGCAGAGGCTAACAGACAACTTGGAGTAATCTGACTTCAGCAAGAAGAATTCTTCCAGCCATGCCAGCTCTCTGGCTCAGCTTCCTCTTTGCTAACATGCATCAAACCAAGTATCTTCCTTTCCTCAGGGATTCTTCCTACCCGGACTCAGGGGATCCCAGCCAAACATTTAAATTGCATGCAATAAGCTTTTAATTTGCTGGCTGCTTGGTGGCTCTGTGTTTCTCTTGCCTCTTCAGATAAACACATGCTCTAGCAAGACTGATTCCCTTTTGCCTGCCCCACAGAGGTGTACCTGAAATACTTCCCTTTTGACCTGACAGAATTTCTTCTTTTAGTTTTCATTGTTAGCCAAGGAGGCTCAGAACTTAGCTCAAACCATTACAGGTTGCCCAAAGAAGTGGTAAATGCCCCATCCCTGGCAGTGCTCAAGGCCAGGTTGGACAGTGCCTTGGGTGACATGGTCTAGTGTGAAGTGTCCCTTCCCATGGCAGGGGTTTGGAACTGGATGATCTTAAGGTCCTTTCCAACCCAAACCATTCTATGATCCTGTGTGCTGCGAGTGCCTTGGCATTCAGGTTGGAATCCAGCTTAGGTCCCGTATCCTTGTACCAACTTACCTCTGCATATAGCCAAATTATCTTGCTTGCCTTTCTGGTGCATTGCTGGAGCAAAGTAAGCTCTTGCAACTGTTTGGTTGGAAGTCACTGGGAGATATTAGGGCTGAAGCAATTTCACTGACTCTGTGCCTGATTTTAAATTAGAGGGCTAGAGCCTCCCTTCGCTTGCCAGCAGGCACAGTGCTTCCAGGCTACATCAAGTTTCTAGGGGGCTTTTCCTCCATACATCTTTGAAATTCAACAAGTGGCTGGCCTGCTGTTAGAAGGTAAAACCAAATGGCAATGTGTCCTGCAGCTGTGAAGAAGTCACATATGTGATCATTTGTGCTCAGCAGTCAGGTATCCTCTTAATCCAGGGAGTAGTTGAGTACTAACACCTGAGCACTTGGGTTTGTACAGCCAGGCTCTGAAATGCAGGCATTTCTGAGACACCATCCAGGTGCTGTGTTGGCACGAGCTCCTTTGTAATGCTTCTGTTTAATTGTGTTTTGTTGAAAACCGTGCTTAAAAGCTGTTACTTTGTTTTTGCAGATTCCCTCTATTGTTCAGGATTTAGTCATGACTCCCACAGAAACTTCAGTATGTGGATTTCACACTGTGATGAAAAGCGAGGAGAGGGAGGCCCAGGTAAGTGTCCCACTCATTTGAAAGACAAAGTTAAAATTCTCTATAAAACGACAGCAATCTCACCTCAAATCCAAATGTTTGATATCGCCCAAAACAAAAGCACAGAGGATCAAAGGATGTTTTCCTGGTTATTCCTTTGTATAGGTTTCTGTGAGAGTAGCAAAAACAAGCAAAGAGGCTGAGGAGTACAATGCCTATACAGCACAAAACTCTTGCCCTGCATTTTCATGAGCTTGTTTGGGTTTTGTTTGCTTGTTTGTTTTGCCTAGGGCAAGAAACAAGAGCTTCAGAGTGGAATTCTGGCAAAAATGAGCTTAGACCTAGACTGAAAGACACTGTTTGGGCTGAACACTTCCAGTTCTTTTGGGCAGAAACACACTTGACATTCCTGCTTTAAAAATAAGATAGGTAAGGCCAGCGTTTGTAAGGGGCAGTGCGTCTAGAAGGTGCCTAGTATCTAGAAGGTATCCTAGTTTCGTCTCTAAAGAGAGAATACTCAAGGATCTCAGACTTCTTTGAAGGGGTATTGATTTGAAAGGCACGTTATTCCACTAGTTAGCACAGCTGGTTGCTTGTAGGTTTATTTCCTGGAGTGCTGTGGGCATTTTAATAGATGGTTCTGATTGATGCAAATGTAGCCTCTGACATGGCCTTCAGTCTATTTTCTCCAAGGCAGGAATGAAGTTGTGTATATTCAGTGAGGGATTTAGCCAGAGGGAAGATTTGTCCATTTCAGTGTATCATACTAACTCTTTAAAGCCTGAGCAGTAGCTCTTGCTTTGGGTTGGCTTTATTGTTTGTCAAGATTAGTGGGGGTAATAGCCTCTTTGTTAGAGAAGAATGCAGAGAAAGAGAAATGGTGAAAAATGTTTTGAGTTGAACAGAAAATGCATTTGGATGTATATATGGACAAAGAGCCTGTTGCAAGTGGCTTTAATGAATTTGCCAATCCTAATGCTGTTGAAGCCTATTCTTCAGCATGTTTCTCAGCTTCTCCCTCTTCCTGAGGGAGAAAAAGCTCAGGAATTTACTGTCTCCTCCAGTCTCAGCAAGTTATACATTTGGGAGTTGAATACACTTCTTCACAGGGTTAATGACTGCATGTAGAGGAAGAGCAGTCATAAAAGAGTAAGGAAGAAAGAAGGCAGATTGAAACAGAGAGAATCAGCCAAGCTCTGACTTCCAAAGGCAGACCTTGTGCACTTACCTGACAGCAACTTGTCTGATGTGGTTTTGGTGTGGAAGATAAAAGTCTGGGTTCCCCTTCTCTGCAAAACAGGGCTTCATCCCAAACTTAGTGATGGTCACTGTCTGCAGATAGGAGATGGTTTAAGCTTTGTGTAAGGAAGGATGTAACAGTGGAGGGCTATATGGAAACTAGCAGGAGACAGTTTGTTTTTCAGTTCTCTCTTGGCAAAGAATGATTTTGGAGAGAGGTTACTGCTCAAGTGGAACCTGTCATTGGAGACTGCCATGGAGGGAATGGCACATGCCAGTAGCCTTCTCTAAGCTGGCAAGTGACTTTCCAGGCCTTCCAGTCATTGTGGCAGGTGTGTAACCCCAAACTACTCTCTCTAAGTGATCTGTCATTCCCGGGTGCTGTTCTGGGAGCTGAAAAGTCTCATGATTACTTCACAGGGCCAAGCTGCTTGCTGGATGAGGCTGTGGTGGTCAGGAGAGGCTTTGGTCAGCTTCACTCTATTCACAATAGGGAGTTACAAGATCAGTCCTTGGTTGCTCTTTGTGTCCACTAATACAGAGGTTTATTGTGTTTTTCTTGCTTTTCTCTGTTGTCACCCCCAGTCTGCCTTCCCTGCTTTGAAACATGTTGGACAAGAGGTACATGTTAGACGTGTGTTACTCACCCACCCCCTTTGTTCCTCTTAGCTGTTTGGAGGCAGGCTTACCCAAGGAAACTCTGTTGGCTGTGCCTGTAACGTGCGTAGCATCTTTGCTTGGAGAGAAGACAGCACGGTACTTCACAGCTTTGGCTCTAGCTGCATCTTAATTGTAACCAAATTCTCTTCCCAGCACAAACAGCTGCTCCAGTGAAGTCACAGGCTTGGAGCCAGCCCAGCAGACATGCTGCAGCTACCAAGGATGTGGGTGGGAGTGAGACAGTAGCTGTGTGAGCTAGTTCCATTTTTCAGAGCCAGGCTAATGGCACTGGGGAGACAGGCAAAGGGGAAAGAGACTCTGACCTACACAATCCGTATGCTGTCCTCCCATGGCAGAGTGGGAGTTTTTTCCAGGAGAAAGCAGAGTGATGTGACCAGCATCTTGGGTGCTGTCACATTCTATTCCCAAGGGGGTGAGTGTGTGCAATGCAGGGGTTTATCCTGGAATTTGTGTCATCATGTGCATACACATACTGTATACCTCCATGCTGTGGTTGGAATGGGCTAGCATACATGAAAATGGTGTACTGTTAGGTTCTGCAGCTGTGTAGTTGAACAGGAGTTACACAGGAGCTTAAACATTGGCATTTTGAGTGTGTATTCTTACATAGGGTGCAGACTGTGTGTTCATGGTTTCTAACATACACATGTGCACAAGCACACGTGTTCAGAGACATGCTTTGAACTCTAACCTTCGTGGTGCTCCTGGAGAGTTCATGTTTCCCAGCCTGAGACCAGACCCAAACAGGTGATGGTTAACCTTGTTTTTGAGAGGTCTCTTCATGCCAGAGGAGCAAAACAATACGAGGAATATAAAACAATGAAGTAGCAGTAGACAGCATGGGAAGAAATAAAGCATGCCCTCACTGAAGGAAGCATTTTGCCCCGTTGCATGAGCTTTCTCTCCCTGCTATTTTCCCCCTGGCAAGATGACTTTTTTCCCTGTTTCACAGCAGCCAAGCTCTTCCCTGCTCCACTCCATGCTCTGCTTGCTCCGTCTGTGTGCTTGTCTTTCGATGTCAGTCATGCTGTTTGATTTGTAATGAGGAAACAGAATGTCTTCCTCTGCTGCATTCGCTCCCCCCCCCCCCAGTCCTCTGAACCCCTCAATGCAGGAGGATTGGATTTAGCCATGGAACAGCAAGCATCCAAGCAATCTCTTAGGGCTCTACAGAGGCAGCTGGCATTTGAGAAATAAGGGGCAGTGGGGAGCAGTGTCTTCAGGGATCACAGCAAGCAGCTATTAACGCTTATTTGCTCTCCTGGTTTGTGACGCAGGGTTAGCCACTGCTGTCTTACATGACTGCACTGTCTCATCTTGAAGCCAGGAAGACCTATAGGTGCTTCTCCTCCACTCATTAACTAGCCTCTTGCTTTGGCAATGTACCTGTGTTTTGGATCTGGAGGCATGTTCAGATGCTTGCTGTCCTGTTTATTACACCTGCAACATCTGGTCCTGATTGAAAAGCATTGCAGTGCTTTTCATGGAACTGCTGTCAGAATGCAGGAGCTGCCTTTCAAAGGCCCAGAGCTGATTTTCTCCCCTGGCACAAGGTGATTTTCTGAGGCAGTGTGTGGTTTTGCATGGTCCGTTTGAGAATAGAGCTGTCTGGGACTTTTGTGATGAAGTGGATGTGGGGCTGTATTGACTTGGTTTTTACAGGATCTCAGAGTTTGTCACAGCTGAAACTCTTTCTGTTGGAACAGAGCTTTAGCAGCGTTTACCTCAGGTAACATTTTTGCAGTTTCAAAACTTGGGATCAGGGGGAAACGTGAGCTGTAGAGCTGCCCCAGGACTTAGCCTGGTTCTCACACATGGAGGCTTTCACTGTGCAGCTGGTTTCTAGCCTTCTCATTTTGTCAGTTGGTTCCTGCTGCTGGTTTTGCAGGGAAAGTGGAGATCATGTCTCTGGATCTCAGTGGTACCAGCCTGAGGGGCTCTGTGTTGGCTGAGCAGCTCTGCTCTTGCTGAGCTTGGCTTAGCTCTCTGCACTTGCTGTTGCACAGGAGGGATTTCAAAGGGTTCCTTGACAGACATCAGTGTTGAGTAGTAAAAGTATGTTTTGAGGGACTGTGTGGGGTCTGAGGGAGAGTATGGGCTCGTATGGGTTCTCTCCAGTATCTCTCCGTCATTCCCTATTCCTTCATTCCATTGATGTTTTCTTTTTTCCCAAGGGGAAGTCCTTTCTCTAAACCTTGGCTTTCACATGTGTTGGTGTTTCTCTTGAAGATGATGGCTTGCCTTTGTGCTAGCTCAGCCCTCAAGCATGGGAGCAGACAGAGAAGAAGACAGCAGGGCAGACTTCTCAAGAGGCATCTGCCATTTCAGATGCCACCCAAGCTTCCTAAAGTAGATCAGTAACTCGACAAGTTACAGAGCACTGGAAACTGCAGTGACATGGATGAAGTCCACTCAGCCTTCAGGCTGGCTTAGTCCTGTGGATCAAAAGGGAAATTCTGGGCAAGAGGAGCATCTGTAGGGCCTGAGGTTGGCTGTCACTGTATGCTCAAGATACTGCTGCACCTGGCTAGCTGATGCCCAGCAGCCTTTTGGAGGCAGAAGGTTTGTGGGCAGTGAAACAGGGACAACGTTTTTGGTGTTGTTCAAATCAGGTGCAGAGGACTAAAATCACAGCAGTCTGGTCTGTCCACAGACCATGCCAGTGTGTGCACCCAGCGTTCAGCCTCTCAGGATTACAATTTATTAAGCCAGCTTTCTTATTTCAGTGCTGGGCAGCAACTGTCAGCCTCGGGGGCCTCATCACATTCTGGGGTTGTGAGAAACTTTTCAGCCCTAGGAGCAGAATTGACTCTCCATGCCTCTGCTACTGAGCAGAGCAGGAAGCCTCATGTGGAATGCTTCTGGAAGTGCTTATGTCTGTGGGAATCAGGCACCAGCTCAGTTAGGCACAGATTATTTGCAAAATATTCTTTTTCTTCCCTTATTTCCAGCCAGTGTAAAGTCCACATCTTGCACGTGTTGGTAGGGTCTTTTTAGCAGCTAGTGGGCCATGGGAAGAGCTAAGTCCCCTCTGGGTTCTTGTCTGTTAACCATGCTTGCAATGCAGTTAGTTATTGCTGCTACTAGTTTCTCCTTCACTTTTATTAAATAGTGTTTTCTGTTTGCAGTCTGCTAAATGGTTTGTTGGCTTTAGTTTTGTTGATGTAATAACTCCTGCTTTCCTGCCAGCACCAACTTCATTGCCTGAGGTAATGGTTTTTGGCTGTTCAAACCTGACTATCAGAAGGTGTCCATTTAATTACAGAGTATCTCAGTATAAATTTCCTGCCAGTCCCTGTCCAGTTCAATCGTCTGTTCCCTGCTGCAAATCAGTTTTCCTGCTCTCTGTCCATTTTTCCCAGGGAATAGGTGGGACCTAGCGTTGGCATTAACGTATCTGTCTTTTCACCCTCTATAAATAAGTTTAGAATTATGTCTATATGTGCTGGAATAGGGTTTTTGTGGGAAACCTAAATGCTGCCTTGGAAAGAAGCCATCTGCAAGGAGTTGAATTAATAAAGCTTTATGTCCTATAGCATTGGCTCTCCAGGTTGAATTCCCTGGGGTCTTGTAGTGGTGTGAAATCCCTGTGTGGATCTACAAATGTTTAAAAGAAATCAGAGTTCATTTTTCCTTTTTTTTTTCCTTTTCATAAGAGAATCCCCGGTAATAGGGATTTGTGGTGTTCCAGGATGGGGGAGGTAAAAAGCAAACCCTGCCTATAAACAAGGCATGGAGTAGGGCCAAGCTTGTACTGGATTAAAATATGCAGCTGAGGACGGGAAGACTTTGGCATCTCTTAAACTGGTGCCCATGTACACTGTAGTGTTGTGTCACCTGAGTGTCCCGTTACCCAGGCCCATCTGAGCAGACTCCCTATTCTGAAATCCTGTCATGTGCACCATTATTTTGTTAGCAACACGTTCCTGCTCTGACAAGGGAAGAAACTACTTCCAGCAGCATACTGTTTGCATTAACAGTGATTGCAGATCAGTTGGTTAGAGGGAAAGAGCATTGCCCAGCTCTCCTCACTCCCCCATGAAGACACTGGAGCCACTCTGTACCTCCTCCCACTCCCTGCCTTCCCTCAGAGCTTCCATACTATGGTTCCATCCAAGAGCCTGCAGCATTCCTAATCCATCCCCTCCATCTCTGTCTGCCTCTCCCTGTCACTGACTGAGGCCTCATGTGCTGAGCACAAGCCTGGTTTTTAGTGATTGCTGTTCCCAGAACTCAGCAGGCTGAAGGGGGTGGGAGATAAACATCAGAGTTCAACCTCCAGACAAACACAGCAGAGCTCACACAATAAATACATCCGCCCCCAAATGCAAATACATCAGGAGAGATTCCTTCCCTGGGGCTCAGAGCAGGCTCAGGCAGGAGAGCAGCATAATGAGGTGAGTGTAGTCACAGGGACCTCCCCAGCTCCTCTGGCCACTTGGCTTTGTGCAGGCCTTGGAAGGCATGAGTGTGATTCTCCTCTTGTTTAGCAGCTCCTACAGTATCACTTCACTGATGCCTCCTGATTTCTTCTCTTATTAAATGAGAAGGGTGTTGAACATGAAGATTTTGGTTAGCACCAAGATACCTGATTGGTACTGAGACTGGCAGCTTGGATGTGTGGCTTTTGGTGTATGGTGTGAGTTGGTGCTCACTCTTTCTCTATTCATCTCTGTTCCTTTGACACAGGTTGGTTGTCTTGCTAGCTGTGCTTTACAGTGGAGTAAGCAGCAGCATTGTGCTGCAGAAGATGTATGGGAGGATCACATCCCCCAACTTCCCAAATGTCTACCCAAATCACAAGGAGAGAATCTGGAATATTACTGTTCCCAAGGGATATTCTGTCCGTGTTTACTTCACCCATTTCAACCTGGAGCTGTCCTACCTGTGTGAATACGATTATGTGAAGGTACGCGTAGGGCAGGGTGATGTGTAGCAAGCTAAGTTGTTAAAAACTGTATATGTGATTCGGGACACATGCAGGACCAACATAATTGATGTAGGCTCTTGATTCTAGACAGCTAGTAAAGTTTAGGCTCAGCTGATGTATAAATGATGTGTTTATTGAGGCCCATGGGACTAGGAAGTAGAACTGGTTGTCATGTTGAAATGTCTGAAACTTGAGTAGTTTGTGCTCAGAGAATTCTGATGTTCTCCTCTCGTGAAGCAAAAGACTTGAAATCTTGCCCAAAACAACATTTGAGCTTCATTTTGCTGAAGTTACAGTGTGTGTTTTAAATTAACAAGTAGTGCTTTACACAGAGGATAATGGGAGACTGTAAAAGTGGAAGCGATAGTCTAAACAAGATACTGTCAGCTTGTCTAAACGCGCACTTGCCACACTTGCTGTGGTGTGTTTGCTAGCTAATGTGAGAAACAACCTCAGGAAAAGAAGCAAAGATACTTCCTTTGGGAAGTGGTGGAGTGATCAGTGGTGTCCCTGAAAGGTTTGTACTCCGTATGCTGGCATGTGCTCTAGTCCAGGCAGCCCTGGTGCTGATTTAAGGCCATGCTACCTCTCTCCTTCTTCTGGTATTTGCATGGGCATGATAACATGTTGCAGAGGGAGCTGTTGCACAGGAGTATGCAAAACCAGGATCTGATTGTCCCTCAGAGTGCCAAATTAACACCAGGGTTATAAACAAAGCATGGTACTGATAGCCCAGGCTGCAGAACAGCTTTATGTGGGCCTCTGAAGGGGAAAAGGGAGACAAAATTATGGGCTTAAATCCTAGGGGAAATCTTCTCTTAACTGTCCCTGGATCTGGACCCACTTCTAGAAGCACCTTTAGAGAGCATCCAAGCCTCCTTGCTCACACCATTAAACACATGCTTTCCAAGCCATGGCAGCAAGTTAGGAAGAGCAAAGCTCTGTGCTCATCTGGTAGATTTGTCTACCCATTTTGCAGCTGAGCTCTGGTGGGAGGACCTTGGCCACACTGTGTGGAAAGGATAGCACAGACACTGAGGAGGCTCCGGGCAACAAGACCTACAACTCCATTGACAACAACCTCATGGTAGTGTTTCGGTCTGATTACTCCAATGAGAAACCATTCACAGGCTTTGAGGCCTTTTATGCTGCTGAAGGTAAGAGACAAGCCCCTAATGCAGGTGCAAGAGATGGGTATGGTGGGGTTAGTGATTCCCTGGGCTCTCACAGAATGTGGCTGCTGGTGTGAGGTGGGACAAGGCAGCAGATGCAAAAGGGCACAGCAACCAAAGGCAAAGAAGCCAACCTCACAGAACAGTGGCTCAGAGCAAGACGCAGTGTGGTTGAAAGGTGCTGTTTGCCTAATTCTGTGCTTCACCCATTAGATATTGATGAGTGCCAAAGAGTGTCTGATGGTGAGCCCCTCTGCAATCATCACTGTCACAACTACGTGGGGGGCTACTATTGCAGCTGTCGGATTGGGTACACACTGCATGAGAACAAGAGGACGTGCACAGGTGAGCTCTTGCTAGATCAAGAGGTGCTTCCCTACCTACAACGTCCACTTTCATCCAGTCCTGGCTCAGACCCACTGATGCATCGAGATGAAAGCTGTGGGGTTTTGTTGTTGTTTTTGGTATTCCATATGCACCTGGTGCAGGGGGTTAGTCAGGGCTGTGAGCAGAGGCCCTGGTTTGCAGAGTGGCTGTGAGCTAATTGCTGCTGTTAGGGGCAGCAGTAATGTGTTGCCTGGCAGTTGGTTTTGGTTGCTTCATAGGCAGCATCCACCTGTGTTCAGCTTTGGACAGATTAAATGCAGAAGCAAGAAACTTGTCCTACGCTTCCCACCACTTCCAGTCTCTATGGCTGCCAGTGCAGCCAGCTTTGCAAAACTGAGTCTATCTTGCTCCCTGAGTACTGAGATACTGAGTATTCTGGACCTGGGTTAGTGGATGTGTTGGAAAAACTAACAATCAAGTTGTGAAGTCTAATGGAGAAGTAGTTTGCTCATTGTCCCTAGAAGGACACAGGCCAAGAAGCAGCACAGTCCACAAATCACTGACACCAGTAATCCACCCAGTAAATGGGAGGCAAGGCCAGGCACAGATCTCATGTTCGGAAGGGTACACAGCGTGCAGTTTGCCTGGCTGACTGCTGCCTGGCTCTGCTGCTCAGGCCACAGGCAGGGAAAGCACATGTGTGGTCAGGCACTGAAGTGATGCCTGGAGCAATGCAGTGATCAGCACTTCAGCATTCACTTTGCTGTGAAATGGGGCCTACACGTGGTGTCAGATTCATCCTTTGTGAGTGTGGCTTTGCCCACCTTGAGCTGAATCCTGGCTGGAAAGAACCAGCACACATACTGGTCACTAAATATTGGCATAGATGGGAAGATACTTTCTTTGAGCTCCCCAGTGCTGAAATCCAGAATTAGATCTAATTTCCAGTGCTTAAGGCTGTCTGGGCATTTACCTTCCCAACTGTTACACCCTTGTTTCAGACACGGTTGCCTGGGTCTGATTCAAGATTCAGACTCCTCATATCTCCAGTGTATTGGAACAGACCTATTCATTCAACCTCCCCTTCCTAAAATGGTAGCTTTTAGCAGAAGTGTATGGATTTACTTCCGCTGTAAAGCGTGTGCCCGGTCTTAATGTGAAGGTGCAAAACGAAGAGCTGTGAACTAGCAGGCTGGAGCTTTGTGTTGCCCATTCATGTGTGCACACTTAGGCACCATCCTTGCACGCTAGCAGAGGGAGCTTAGCAGCAGTATCCTGATGGGTGGAGATGTACACACTGGGAATTACTGTGGGGCAGCTGATGTGTCAGAACCTGTTCGCATTGCAGAGGTCTTTAGGTACAAGCCACTGAGCTGGGCTGCAAAGCAAAGGTCTCTGTGGATCGCTTTCATGAGGGCAAAAGCTGCCCCTTTGATTGCTGGGCTCCTGTCTGAGCAGGCTGATATTGACAGGCTCTTTCTTTCTCCTTTATTTTCCAGCATGAGATAATTAAAGCTTCTCCTCGCTTAGGCAGAGATGGAGACAGATGTGCTGGGAAGAGCTGGTTTACCCTCCCTCCTGACCTGCCTGTTGCAGTCTGCCCAAGGGCTGCAGGCTTCTCATGCTCGGTGACTTGTATATCTTGGTTCCTTGCCTTTCAGACCTGCCTCCTGCAGACAATAAAGAGGCTGTTCCTTGTTGAAAGCTGATGGCAGCCTCTGGGACATTCATTTTCTCGCATTTCCCATGTGTCACTAGGGGAAAAACAAAGGTAGATGAGGTAGAAACTGATAAGAGAGGAGCCATTGTGAAAGTCTCTGGAGCATCACAGCTACAAAACTCTTGGATTTCTTGTCCAGCTCTTGTTGCTTGACCTTCCATAGTTTTTAAACTGTAACAAGACCAGGACTGCGCACGTGTTCCTTTTAGATTTGCTGTTGTGTGCGCCCAGACTTGGAAATTGAAACTATTTCTATTCAGAGCCCATTCATTCTCTGGAGAGGTTTGAATTTGAGGTTTGTTTTGATCCAAATATTATGACTTTGGCTGTATCTCCTATTGGGAACCTGAAATGTGTTCTGGTGAGCAAAGCCTTGGACT